CTAAGTATTTCCACGTGATCTTATCTTACCGGAAAAAGGTCTGGGGACATGTTACTCCTCTGATGTCCTACATGACGACTGCTCTCTGCCTACATCTCCCAGAATCCTCCTCATCTCTGAGACCCGTCTACCTTGGTGCCCTATTGGCCACAGTGTTTTAACCATCAACTAATAAGATAAACATATTTACAGAATGACATCTCTCATCAAAAGTATTTATTTTTATTTTATATGCATTGGTGTTTTGCCTGTATGTTTATCTGTGCAAGAGTGTCAAAGTTCATGCAGCTGGGTTACATACAATTGTAAGCTGCCACATGGGTGCTGGGAATAGAACCTGGGTCCTCTGGAAGAATAGTCAGTGCTCTTAACAGCTGAGCCATAGCTCCAGCCCCTCTATCCCTATTTTAATGTAAAGGTAAAGGAAGGGTTCTTATTGAGCACCAAAAGGATAATACATGCCAGGTGTCACATAGATACAACAGAAAGATCTACTTAGCCTTGACATGCTGTGCATCATGTTTCTCTCTCTGCTCCCTCTCCTACACACCAGTAATGGCTAAGCTTGTCCACCACCTACAATCTCACCAATATTCATGGAAGCCCGTACCACACTGAGCCTGAGGCCGGGAATGAGGGATGACAGAAGACACAAGGTAACTTTCTTTGGGAACTTCACAGAAGTTGGGAGGGACTGGTAGGTAAAGGAACTGCTGAGGCAAAAGAGTGATGACAGGAAGAGGATGAGAGCTCTGTGGAGGTCGTCTGCAGTGCAGAGGCTCAGCACACAGCTCCATACCTACACATCCAGATACCCAGGTCTCTGAAGTCACAAGTGAAAACTTAAGGGCCTGGGGATTAAGGATTTTGATCCAAATCCCATCTTTGCTGGACATCCTCAAAGCCCCATCAGTACTTGTCCTGTTCATTCACACAATTTCTGTGGTTCAAATAATAAATGTTTGAAATGTCCAAAGGCTGCTTTAACTCTCCAATGTTAAAGCTCAGCATCATGGTCTGACAAAACATATTAATAATTGGACTTCTGAGGACTGTAGTGCTCAGGACACACACCCCAGCATCACTTTTGAGCTCATCCAGAAACAGCAACTGTCTAACTTGTTTTCTTTCTGTTGAAGATAGGTCAATGAAGACAGGCTAATATACTCTTTCTACATTAAAAATGCACTATTCCCACCCTTTTTTCTTGGGAAAAGGTACCAACTACACCAGGGCAACTTCAAAATCAAGCCTACTATATAGTTGAGGATAGAATGCACTGCATTGCCATGCTCAGTTTACGCAATGCTAGGGATGGAACCCATGATTTCGTTCACAATAGTTCAACATTATAGAGACTGAGACACATCCCCAGCCCATTTGTCATAGAATGGTTAAGTTACATTTAGTGTGTAATTGTATGTGTGTGTCTGTGCTTGTGCTTGTGTGTGTGTGTGTGTGTGTGTGTGTGTGTATGTGTTTGTGTGTGTACACCATACAGCATTGGAGGTCAGAGGACCACTTGTTGAAGTCAGTTCTTGACTCCACACTATGGGTCCCAAGGATGGGTCTCAGGTCATCAGGTTTGGTAGCAAAGAACTTTACCCACTGAACCATCTCTCGGGGGTCCTGTGTATTCTTTTCAGAGGAACACTTTATCTGAAGGAGTAAAAGCAGATGTCCACATTGGTGTCAAACTCGAGAGTTCATCATGGTTGGCTTCAGATGGGAATTCCATAAGCATAATTTTCATAGTGTTATTACTGGAAGGAAGATGGGGGAACCTTTGACCAACATGTTCTGTTGGGGGTCCTTTGCCATTTGGGAAAGTACCTCGAGGGAGGACTCAGGAACCCCATCTGTAGGTTTAATGCTTCCTGGCTTCTGATGGAAGTAATGTGTCTCTGTCATTGCCATCTGCTGCTTGCAGCAGAGTCAAAAGCAATGGTGCTGTCCAACTCAAGACAGGACCCATGAACTAACCAGAAGCTCTAGAACTACGAACTAACAAACTTCTATTCTTTAGAAAGTCAGCTGCCACAAGTGTTTATTAAATGTGCAAACCAACTAACCCAGAGGATGCCTGTGTTCACATGCAGTCCATCTTCTGTTTCATTTAAAAAAGGAACACATCATGTAAGTATACTGAAGTTCATAAAAGGATTAAAATAACACATTAACAGGAACTAGAAAACACTTAAGTGATGGGAGATGTCATTCTGAAAATCTGTCTCTTATTGGTTGTTGAATAAAGCACTGTTGGCTAATAGGAAAGCAAGAGAGGTGGGACTAGGAGTCGAGCAGGATTCTGGGAAGGAGAAAACACAGGGAATCATCATGTAGATGCCATAGGCGTAAGAAGTCTGGACCCTTTTCTCCGATAAGAGAAATACTTAGATTAACAATTATGGGGTAAATACTTAAGTCAGAGCTAGCCAGTAAGAAACAAGCAAGGCCAACAGCTTCATAATTAATACAGCGTCTTGTGTGTTATTTGGGGACTACAACACGGCAGAGCCCAGGCGACTGGTGGGGGAAAAAACCAAAGCGGCTGTCAAGGAAAAGGCTTCACTCAACACTTAAGAAATTTGTGATTACATATAAATACCAGGTGTTAATGGAGACAAAGTATTCTACCTTCTGTTAAATGGACACCTATCATAATCAGATGTAAAATCTATAGGTAACAGCCAATGTTGCTTGGTAGGACAAAGAACCCTCCTTACAAAGGAGGACACTACATAGGAGTGACAACTCTGAGACTCAGGAAATTTAAGACCAGGACTGGTAGCTACACTAGAAAATGTGTTCTTGATCTGGCCAGAAGGAGGTGAATATATTTGAAACTACAGGTTGATCATAGTGTAAAATGGTCTAGATTTAGACAAAGAACAGGGATGTGTATAGCAATGTTCTTCCTAAGTTTTGCTTTGTGTATTAGATGTTCCCAACTTATTACATGTTACAGGCAAAATTGTGTAATTTTGCTTGAAACAGAAAGAAGCATTGTTTATTAAAGCTCTTTCTCCACCACTATCTTCCTTAGGAATGTGTGCTGCAAGTAGTCTATCCAAATGTGGAAATGAAAGCAATTTACATTCCACAGAAATTTTCTCAGTCTTGGATTTAACTTCAGGCTGTATAGGCCAAAGCTTTCCTTATAGATAAGTCACATGGGTAGTCACATTTGATGTTAAAATTTAAAACACAAACCAATTTCCATCTCTGTGTCCATCACTACATGGCTAGGGTATTTAAATGTTATCAACACAGTGTAATTAACTGCACAAGTATAGGTATCATGATCCTACAGGAACCTGGAAATCAGAAATGCCAGACATATAAAGCTATAAAAAAAGGCTGGTTTAACCCCCAGAAACAGCTGATCAGACAAAGGTTAACTCTTGAATCCCAGGCATCAGCCTGGGAATCCAGCATGGAACTGATCAAGACCCCCCCGAATCTGGGTGTCAGTGAGGAAGGCCTAGGGAATCTATTGAGTCTTGGGCAGCAGATCAGTACCCATCCCAAGCATACACATGGACTTTGGACTCCCATAGAACAATGTGAGGTGCACTCTCACCCTGAACTCTTGGGGAAGGGTCTAGGCCCTGCCCTATATGAAATGACAGACTATGGACACCCCCATGGAGGGCCTCACCCTCCCTGGGGGAATGAGGGGATAACAGGGGGGTTGGGGGGGAGGGCGCGGGAGGAGGGGAGGGAATGGGAGAGGGACCTGGAACTGACTTGTGAAGCAACCTCGTTTCTTATCTAAATTTAAACTGGAAAATAAAATTAAAAAAAAAAGGCAGACGATTAGGGCTGGGCTGTAGATCAGTGGTAGAGTACTTGTCTTGAATGTTTGAGGTCCCGGGTTCATGCCTGGGACCAGAAATAAACAAACAAACTAAACTAAAATTAAAAAGGTCAATGATGGGATGGATATGATTGTATGTGTGTGTGCATAAAAAATACCACATTACATTAAAACACTAACAAAATAAATAAAATTATAATGTAATCTAAAACAGTAATTATTGAATACACTAATCAATAATATTTTCCTTTACAATCCCTAAGTTATCTTCTGAATAAGTACTTTCCTTATTTTATAAAAATATTCAAATAAATGGTTAAACATATACCCCAACCACATGCTTATAAGGGTTAATTTTTCATTAATGAACCATAGAAAATTCTACTCATACTAAACTATAACTCTCAGTCAGTTTGACATAAAATGTTTAGTAATTTGGGGAAAATACAAAATTAGATACATCTGTTTTAATCCAAAAATATGTTTTTTAAAGTAATAAGATATTAAAAGTATTTATTGTCCATGTCATCTGGCAGACAATACTCAGAAATATTTTTCCAAGATTTGGTATAAATATAACTCTATGAGTTATTGAGAAATCCAAACAATATTTTAATGTGAACTGTATTTATCATTATACACCAATTTAAAAATCAGTTTTTAAAAGAAAATTACATTGTAAAAAAAATAGTACAATTGTATAGTGAGAGAAATTATGTTTTCAAAAAAAACCCTGTAATTTCCAAAATGAAATCATTGTCAGAATAATGGTTTTGTTTTAGTTTTGTTTTTTTTTTTCCTTCTAATCCTCCAATGTTACTTCAACACTGACTGAAAAGACAATTCCTTGCTGGACATAATGGCACAGACCTGTATTCTCTAGCATTGGAGGGCCTAAGAAAGGTTTTCAGTTCAAGGCCAACCTGGGCTATTACATATATACAGCAAGACTCATTCTAAAAAGATACTCTCTGTTTCTCCATTGAGTGCAATATCTCATGGTGTAAAAGACCAAGTATGGACTTCAAAGGGAAAATGACTACAAGGACAACTGTTACTCTGAAAACACTTTAGACCTCAGAGATGCACCCAAAGGACCTGAGAACCTGATAGCACATCCCGAGGACCACTGGTCAGGCAAGCCATTAGCAATTGCTGCTCGAGCAGCCAGGACACTCACAGGTCTCCATGCCTTCATCGTCGTCATCAACCATGGGTTTATCATAAGACTTGTCAATAGCAGCTCGGAAGCTCTCATTGCAGCCCCTTCCTCGGATGATTCGTGGCCGGGGGCGGTGGAAAGGAATGTTTCCATTCAATGTAACCTCAGCTACAGCAGTCTGCAGACTTTCTAAGGAGCTGGATTTCTTCAGACCCAAGGAAGGTCCCACATCTCTACTGGGAGAGCCTTGGAGGGTTAGAACAATACAAGATTAGTGAGAGGGAAGTGACAATTTCAGATGCACCGTGGATACCTGCAGGGATAAAATTATTGGCTCAGTGATAAGCACTAAAATAAGGATGAAAAATACATAAAATATTAACAATACTGAGTTTTAAAAACATTAGGTTTTAATATCTATTTCTGTTTGGAAGTGGTCCAAAATGTTAATTTTTATCAGAACAGTTGAAATCATCATCAAGCCATTGTCCAATGTAATACATATATGAACTAAAACAACTAAAATGATCAATAATTATATTTAAAATGTGGAAGTGGTAAGGAGGTTGCAGGAAAGTAATCTTTGCGATCCAATGGCAGCACCTTTTTGTAGTGTAAAGTCATTAACAGCAAAGGTAGACATCACGGTCACAGGCTCCATCCACTCTTTGCCATATGAACATACACAAAAGCAGTCCCAGGGACGGTGTGCCACGAGCACACTTAGCTGAGACTATGTAGAAAGGTGATTGTGGGGAACAGGATGTTCTAGCCAAAGGGCAGTACAGATTCAAAGAGACACATCACATACGGGCTTCTCGCCCTGAGAGACAGAAGTGTTGATATACCAGGAAGTTAAAAAAATTTCTTTTGTTTCCTGAAGATCCAAGGCAAGAAGGCGTGAGATACCAATGGCACCCGATGTAGCCGGCAATGCAAGCTATTTTCTTTAAGCAAGAGAGACAGCCCCATCCATCACTGCCTGACCTGGCACACTGGGGTGGACATCAGCAGACTCTAAGGCTGACGTCTCCACCTGGGTGGGCCAGGTGACAGGGCTGGTTCCTCACTTATCTTACTAAAAAGACAGATGAAAAAAAAGGGAGGGGGTGTGGAGAAGCTAAACAGCTTATCTCCACACGGGGTCTCCCGCCCATATGTTGATCAATAATTAGGAAGTAGATTCCTCATGTTACTACCTAGAAGACAAATGGCTGAAAAGATGGGCTCACCATGGCTCAGAGTGGCAAGCCACAAGGAAAACTAACTGGAAGTGTCAAATAGGAATTATCCCCTAACGCTTCCTTTATATTACATATTTTACTTAACTTTTACCATGGGGTAGCTGTACTCAGGAAGGGCAGGGGTGGTGAAAATACAGGCCAATAGGGAAGCTGGCATGAATTTAACAGCGGAAAAAAATACTCTACAGGTTATCAGTCTCAGAAGCAAGTGATGATATATATGCTTTCTGGGGTGCAGATTTGTGTGTATTCGATCACTTCTTTTACAACGAAAGCATACACTGAATATTTCTTTCAAGGAGCACCATGTCACTCTAACTCTTCACAGCATGTAACTGACACCTCTGACATTATTCATAAAGGCGATGTCACAGGAAAGAAAATGAACAGTCTTCCAAAACAAAAGGGGCAATGTCAAGGAGTCAGACACAACAGGAGCCATGCATTCCTTGGTGTGAATAGCCACCTTCACATTCTCTAGAAACAGCACCGGCAAGAACTTCATTTCTCAATGAATTATGACTGTGAGATTTCAAGCTTCCCTACATGCATTTGGGTCATGTGGAACATGTATTAGGTAAATGAGCTCCCCAAGGGTATGAGGACCTCTGAAGGTACACACAGACACACACACACACACACACACACACACACACACACACACAAAGCTGTGGTTTCACACTTCCTGCAGGGACTGTCATCAAAATGCCATGTTCTACACAGGCATAGTAACCTTTTCTTCAAAAGGAGTTAGCTGAGACGTTAATGTACTCAAAGTAACAAAAAGTGACAGTGAATTTAAAGAAATGGTCCAAGGCTCTTTCCTCATAAAGTAATTCTGCAAAGAAGACAAATAAAGGTGCAGAATAATGACATCAGCAAGAAAACTCTACATGTACACCAGGTCCTGTATCTTCATTCTCTAAATTATAACTCTGTGGATAACATTTTATCGCAATGCTGCTAATTGTGAATAGAGTATTCATTCACGGTTGAGATTTGCACAATAAAAAGTTTTAAAAAGTCAATCTATAGAGTGATCCGCATAGGCACCTAGACACTGCTCCACCCACTTATTTACATATGATCCATGGCTACTTTCATTCCTCCATTGTAAAATCAGACAGTTGCCAGAAAGCCTCTTGGCCTCTTAGCCCAGCTTGCTTACTATCTGCTTCTTAACATAGAGAGCTCACTGCTCCTGTAACATAGATATCATACACCAAGCAAGAACCTTGATCAAAGGCTTTAAGTGAAACACTGAGTATTCTGGGGTGAGAATGTGGCTCCAGGTTAGATGCTTGCTAGCAAGCACAAGGGCTGGATCTCAAATCCCAGCAGAGCAGTGCATAAGCTCAGCACTTCCTATGATGAAAACTGAGACAGGGTCTTCAGTGCAAAACATGAGCTGACTACTCACCACTATATGGAAAGCAGTATCTTCTCATTTGTAAACAATATTTCAAAACTCTCACTTTTAAATCTTTAGATCTTAGCATAAATGCATTTTTACATTATTCTTTTTTAAAGGAAGTAGATTCATGGCAAAAAAAAATACAAGATCTCTAAATCCATAAGTCAAAGTCAAGGAAATCATCCATAGAATTATCTTTCCTAGAGCAGTTTTGTTTGATGCCTTCCATATATAAGATGATCACTCTGGTGCCACACTCCAGCCCTAGACCTGTTGTTCTGTTCTATTCTTTTTTTAAACCTTTTTAAAAAAATTTTTTGGACAAGGTCTCATTCTGCAGCCTTGACTAGCCCAGAACTCAGTAGCTAGGACAAAGGAGACCCACCTGCCTCCTGAATGCTGAGATTAAAGGTGTGTACCTGATTCCTGCCTGCTAATTAATATCCCTTAGGCTTAAAAAAAAAAACAACTGACAATGAACATATTTTCTTCGAGAGGCAAAAAGGAGAAAGAGTTCTGTTTTCATAACAATTGGCTTACAATGAGACAGGTATCTATACCAAAATGTCTGCATGCCCTGTCCAAAGCACTGGGCTAACCTATCAAAGAATGCAAGCACCTCTCAAGTGAGGAACAGGAGACAACTCAACTGAAAGCTGTTCATTGGCAAGCACTGGGCAGGGAGAATACAGTCTAAGAATGTATCAATGGGGATTAAAACCCTCCAAACCAAAAAAACATTCTGGTATCTATATAAAGCACATCTTAACATTTTCGAATCTAATTGCATGCATAGGATAGATGGAGACACTCAAAACCAGAAAATGCCCTTCTCCTCTAAGACCTAACATGTGAACCACAGAACACATGGTTTGAATAGATGATAAATCTCAATCATCATAGTGGGAGTTACATAACGCTTTCAGGTAAAGTCTGTGTGTTATTTTTTAATCACAGTAAATTTTGTTTTCCTCATTGTGGCTTTTGGTTGTTTCAATTAAACACTCACATTTTCACATAACTGGACAGCATCACAATGTGAAGGTACGCAGTTCTACTGGTGTAGGACCTACTTCTTCAAACTACTAAGTCTAAACACTGACTGCTACTGTACACGTGTAGACTACCAGGACTTGTTCAATAGTTCTGGTTCAGAATTTCAATGAATTTTATGTTTCACCAGAAAAATAGCTACTTAGTAAGATCTGAGGCTATAGTTAATTGCCCAGAACACAGCCAATCATATATATTATTGAATTCAGTTTCACAAAATATCATTTACTTCATAGAATATGGTAACGCCAAGCACAACCACAATAATCTTTATGCATGTATGTAGAACACACAGGCTGAAACTAATTACTATAGCAGGTTAAAAAGGCAAATTAAAGCTAATACGTGCTAAGTGATATAATTACATTATCCTGGATCTAGAATAATTAAAACAAGATTCCAAAATACACTAATAAATCATGCATGCTCAACTGCACACAGCACACTGCTTAATTACACTGACAGACTCTGCTGATTTTCATGTAGTAATATGAAAAATAAGATATACTATACCGCTAAACCTGGTCCATGTAGCCCATTATTTCTATGAAATGATTAAGCAGTAAATTTAGACCAGATTCCAAAAATTAATGAAGTCATATGTATCATACAGTTCAAACTAATGTCAGGGTTAACACTGAGCTAATTCCTGCATCCAAAAAAACATGTAGAAGATAGCAAACTAAATATACTAGCATCAGTAGTAGCAAGGTCAAATATTGGCATTTAGTGAAAAGTGTTCATACAGGACAGTGGTTCTCAACCTTCCTAATACTGTGACCTTTTAATATAGTTCGTGATGGTGCAGTGACCTCCAACCACAAATTAAATTGCCTCTTCATAACTGTAATTTTGCTACTGTTATGAATTATAATGCAAACATCTGATATACAAATCTCGTGAAAGTGCCATTTGACCACAGAATGGGTCACAACCCATACTGAGAACCAGAGATATAGGTGATGCTAATTTCCAAATACTAAGACATCATGTAATAACTAAAGACCATAAGAGTACAAGTAAAAGAGGTTTTCTTAGACTTTTGATTTGTATAAAAAATCATCAAAACATTCCTATGCAAGAGAGATTAAAAAATATCTAAGGTTTTTTCTTTAACGTGGTAAAGGTAATCCATTCCATTCCATCTGTTACACACATTGCTGATAAATTTCTCATAACAGAAAAAATGTATTTCCCCCTGCAATTTGATTTCCCATAACGAAAGCATCTGAGTGAGACTGGAATACTGGTGCTTACATGAAACATGACTGGCAGCTCTATAATCATGATAAGCTCCTTGAACCATGGTTTCCATGGCAACAGTCTAACTGCCCATTCTTACCTGCTCTCTGGTCATCCACTGTATTGAGTTTAGTCTCGTCAGCTACTGTTAAAAGGTAAATGTATAATGGTTAGCCCAGTTAGTCCCCGAAGCCAAACATGCTTTACCCCTCCCCCAGCCTTGGCCGTTAGAGCACAATTCTTAGGCAATATTCCATGCAAAAAAATAAAAAGAAGAAGAATGGAACAACAAGCAAACATTCATAATCAAAAAATAAGAGAAAAATAAGCAGTATCTTCATGCAGGATGCCAGTCATTTCATCTCACAGTCATATGTTATTTGTATGTTAGTGTATCATCATTAGCCACGGCAGTGCACTGTCTAATTTTATTTTATTTTAACTGACAAATTAATGCTTTTAGTCTTGAGGTTCAAAAAGCCACCAGAAAACAGTATAAGTCATGGTTGATTAACAAAGGATTTTTTTTAAAAATTTAGTTTACACCTGTATTAATTAAATTATTTTGGGGGGTAGATTTGATTTAAAGAGAGAGACTAGCTGATTGGTGTCTTGCTGAACAATTATGGCTATTTTCCTCCTCTCATTTGCTCCCAAATTTGTTCTAGAATATAATCTCTCAAGTTATTAACTTGATTCAAGGCCATAATTATTAAAGCACAAGAAGTTCTATCAATTAGCACTTCAAGAAGCGCAATCAAGGAGGGCACTGGCTACGAAGCCCTAGACATGGATTGAGATAATGGTTTCTCTCCAAAACGTTTTCTACTTAAAATCCCACCAAATGAACTCTCAAATAAAACTGCTCCTCAAATGGACAAAGTATTAAAACATCTCATTTTGAAATGAAGCATCAGGGATACATCAAGGGTTTGCATGTGTTTGCTTCCTTTCTCATATGAAAGCACACGTCAACATACTGCTTATCATGTCAACATGCTACTGTGAGTAGCATGGGTAACTCAAACACGTGGAAAACTATTTTTTTGACATATTGCCACATTTTATATTCATTTTCTCTATTGGTAAAAGTAAGCAGACATGTGTTTGGGACTTTCGGTTTCATCCTGCAGCATCCACACCTTATTTAGATAAAGATTCATGGAGATTGTACTCACTACCTAAATCCATGCTTTTTGATTTTCGTGTTTTAACGAAATCCAATTGACTGGCATCTGAAAATTGCTTTGTGCGTTTTTCTGACATACTCTGGCGTCCAAATCCTTCTCGTTGAAACGCAAGAACCGGATCAACATCGGGACTCAAAGAGCTGGTGTGAAAAGAAAGAAAAACATGAAAGTATTTACTAAAGAGTACAGACATTCAGTTTTAGGAAAGATCCTATATCTGTTAGTGCATGGATAGATTAATATTATTTAAAGATTTAAATTAGATGACACAATAATAATATACCTCACTTTTAAAAGGAGACAAAATGGAAAGTAAGAGAAAAAATAAAAATTGGTTTAACCTTAAAGTAACTCTGTGGTTATAAACTTTCTTCTCTATTTCTTTCTGCCTGTTTATTGTGTTTGCTAATATATCATTAGTTCTGTTATTGTTTAAAATGAGTCTGCTACTTGTCAGACATTGGGATGGCTGAATATTTGACAAGACTTGCCTTGTGCTGTAACATGTAACCATATAAACCCCAATTTAGCAATTTAAAAAAAGATGTGTTCTGATGGAAACTAGCACAAAGTCCACAATTGGACAATGTGCAGACACTGAGAGATTTTGGAACATTCTGTCTGAAATGTTATGTCTTCACCAAGCCCGTACCCTCATGGAGTTATGCAGCAGAGAAGGCAGAAAGACTGTAAGAACCAGAGGGAATGGAGGACTCTAAACAGAATCTTCAGACACAACAGAGCTGATGTATGTAAGCACTCACATACAGAAGGGGTCCCAGCACTGGGAGGGGGAAGTGGAGACAGGTTCCCATGCCTCACCAAGAAGCTACCTGTAACTGACATTCACTTGCAAAAGAAAATTTACTGTTGTCCAATAGAGTCTCACTGGGTATGTTAACCACATTTAAGGGCAGGCCCCAAGCCTCAGTAGTATATGGCCAACACAAAACAAACTCAATGGTATTTTTGTAGATTTCCAGTCTAATGTAGCTCTGAATGGGCATTTTTTGTCTTGAGTCTTTTGCTCATACATTACTGTCTCCGATTTTGTGTTTTTATGGTATGTGAAGGCCATATGGAATTGCTCTTCCTTATAAAAATCTGTGACTGCTTTAACATGCACTACTAAGAGCTCCTACACAGCTCCAACTAAAGAAGTGGCCTTTTCTCCATGTTTGACACACTGAATAAATAAACACAACAGTTTTCTTTTATAGGATACAGCCAGGTAGAAGACAGCCTATGGTGTTTTGGGTTTGAAATATCCCCCATAGACTCAGGTATTTGAATATTTGAACACTGTGTCACCAGTTGGTGGCAACATTTGGGGACTTGGGAGGTAGAGTTTTGCTGGAGGAAGTGTGTCACTGGGGGTGGGGGCTTAATAGAGGGAGCCATGCTGGAGGAAGTATATCACTTGGCAGAGAGTTTAGGAGGTAGAGCTTTGCTAGAGGAAGTATGTCACTTGGGGAAAGTTTGAAGGTGGTGGCTTGCTGGAGGGAGTGTGGTATGGGGGTGGGGTTGAAGAGTTTATAATTTCTCCCCACTTCCAATACTCTCTCTCCTTAGCATATGGTTGAAGATGTGAACTCTTAGCTTCCTGTTAAGTTGGTCTGTTGTCATGCCCCTTCTGCAACAATGGACTTGCCCTCTAGAATTGTAGGTCAAAGTAAACATTTCCCATAAGTCACTTTTGGTCATGGTGCTTTATTACAGGCAGAAAAACAAACTAATACACCTCTCCCCATCAGCGAACTGATAATCATGTTGGGGCTGGGAGGGGGCTGCTTCTACTGAGGCAGCTGACTTTACCATAGGCTTCCACATGTTTCCCTGCCTACAAGCCTCAACAAGCCCGCACTGTATTATGTGAAATAACACAGAGGGAAAGGGATGTGATTTGGTTTGAGTACAGAGCAAAATTTTAACTGCAATTCACCAAATGACATAGCAGCAGGTGGCTGGCTCTTCAGGAAGTGCTAAGCCAAAGGTGAGGGAAGGTTTCCAGGAAAACCCTACTGCCGGAAGGATAGAATGGAGAGCTCTGCACCCATTTGCCTCCATGTGCTACATGGAATAGCTGGCTCACTCATCTCTCTAAGTTAATGAGAGAACTCAAGAACCTGAGGTGAAAGCCCTTTGCATACTGCCATCCATGAACTATTATTATCACCCAGTGAAGACAAGCTACCTCAGATTACCCTAGTAATACCAATACCTGTGCCCTTAAAAAACACATAAAGAATCAGACACCCTCCTTGATCATTGCCAGTAAACACAGAGCAGGGTACACATGTGAAGCAAGGCAGGTGGGCAGGGTCAGAATTCACTCACAAGGTCAGAGAAGAAGAGACATACAGCAGACAGTGAGCTTGTTCTTAGTTCTCCCCGGCCCCCATCTCAATAGTCTTGCCTGAGCCAGTGGCCAAGAACACAACAGGACCAGAGACCAGCCGAGAGCAAGGCATGAGTTTTTATTTTTATTTCATTATTTTTATTTTTGAATTATGTGTACATGTTCAGAAGTAGCCCACACATGAGTGGGGGTGCACTGAAGATCCAGAAGATACCATACCCCTGAAGCTGGAGTCACAGGCGGCTATGAGAAGTCCCTGTTTATCTGATGGAACTGGGAACTGAACTCAGGTCCTAGGAAAGAGCCGCTGATGCTCATAACTGCTGAGTCATCTCTCCAGCCCCCAGTTCCTGTTTTTATGCTAGTCTAACTCTCAGGGCATGCCATTTCACTAGCACTATAGTCTCCATCTTTTTCATTGAAGATAAAGGACCAGGGCTCTACAAAACTTTTGACAGTCTGAATTTGCAAGAAATAGTAATCAGACTTATGTAGAAATCTGGTGTAGCAACTTAAATACTAGAATCAGGCTTTGACCAAGATATTCAAAAATTTCCAGAGCAAAGTTGCCATCATTAGCCAGGTGTAGAGGTGATTCTTTCAACCCCAGCACTCAGGAGGGAAAGGTAGGTGGACTTCTGTGAGTTTAAAGTGAGTCTGAGCTACATAATGATTTCTCAGTCATCCAGGCCTATAGTAAGATGCTGTCTCAAAAAACAAACCAAACATCAAGCAAACTAACAACAAGCATTCATAAGATAACCACAACTCAATTCTGGAGCAGAAAACACTAAATAATACATGTCTAGTAATAATCATTCTTCTCTCTATGCAAAGTGGACTTCTTGGTTGCTTAGCAAAAAAAATTATAATGTAACATATGGAACACTTGAAAACTGCAATGAGGCATTAGATTTGTAGACAGAATGAATCTGAAATGTGGTTATTTATTTACTTACACATGTATGTGTGTCTGACAGGCTTGTATCTGGTGACCTTTGGAGAGGAACCTGTGGGGGTACACATGTACCTGTGTGCAGGCCAGAGGTCAGCATGAGGGCATCCTCCTCAGGACTCTATTTACCGAGGGATGGTCTCTGGCTGAATCCAGAGCTCAAAATTGATGTTATTGTAAACTTGGGACCCTTCCAGGTATTCACCTAGATCTTCCCAGTAATTATGTGGGTGTTGGAGATCCAAACTCAGGCTGCCCTACTTGTGTGTCAAGTACTTTGTCTACTGACTGTTTCACCAGCTTCATTACTTGGTTTATTTTTCAGAGAGTCCTGCTTATATCCATGTTGGCTTTAGACTTTTGATCTTCCTCAGTCTCCTGTGTACTGGGATTACAGATGTACACTATCACACCCTACTGAAAAAGTTTTAACAGAAAATTCTTCCTGCCAAAATGGCTTAAGAATCCCCACTTAGCGGCCGGGCGGTGGTGGTGCACACCTTTAATCCCAGCACTTGGGAGGCAGAAGCAGGCAGATCTCTGTGAGTTCGAGGCCAGGCTGGACCAACAGCCTCCAAAACAATACAGAGAAACCCTGTCTCATAAACCCCCCCCCAAAAAAAAAAAGAATCCCCATTTAGCATACTTTCAAACTCACTTAATATCCTCCCAAATACTGCTATTATCAAAATTAGAATTTGCTGTTATATTTTCTACTCCCTTAACAAAAAGCATGGTTAATGGCTGCTACATAAATTACTAGGTTGAGAAAATATATTCTATTAGTTAACAAATTAGAAGTACAGTCATTTGACACATTTAGCCTTGCACAACTGTGCAGTTAACTATAAATGCATGCATTTGAAAATGTCAAATGAGCTTGGAAATTAATAAGAGACTAAAATAACTAAATATTCTTAAAATATGACATAATTAATTTTTCCTGATTAATCTACTCATTAAACTTATTTCAGACACAATAAATAGTACACTAGAATATTATCAAGATAGGGAGGAAGACTGGTAGATGACACCCTGAAGAAACCATATATACCTTTCCCCCCTTTACTGAAATTCCAGTTGCTAATCTTGCCTCACTGACTCTCTGTTTTTCTAACATTTTCACCAAGTTGAGGGAGAGATTGTCAGATGGGCAAAGCTAACATTCTCAGCTCTGAGGCTGAACAGCTGGCATGCATGCTTAGATAATTCTTCACTTGCATTCTTTCCTTTGCCCTATATTTCCCAAGGAAAATGATAGACATCCTCACCACTGTTGTTGGAAACTAATATCCCAAGCTATCCCTTCAAGATAACTATGTCTTTTTACCAATGCAGATCTGTTCCTGCGAACCCCTTCACAGTGTCTTATCATGGTGGAGACTCAAAGGCTTTGGCCTCCTTGGAGAACAACATAGAGATAGACATAAACTTCCCTTCTGCTCTCACTTCCAGCAAGACACAGGCTGCAGTCACAATTAGGGCATCTTGTATTGCTACCCCCACCCACAAAGCAAGATTCACTGAAAGCTCGGCTCTATTATTATATCTTGTACTTTCCAAAAGAGAATTAAAAGGCACGAAACAAAAGCTAGTGAAAAACTTTTCAAGAGTCCACAAACAGGTCAAGTGCTTTCAAGAGAACATTATGTTTTCCTGACATCATATGAGGAGGAAGAGAAAGGTCGGGAGGAGAGGGGAAGAGGAGAACAGAGTGTTCCACTTTGTTAAGATTACCATGAAGATGTTAATACAAAAATGCCACTCCTCAGCCCCTCCAACCTAATGCCTAATGCGACACAGGAAGGGAATGCAGAGAAGGACATCCAGAGAAACAAGCTTTGTTTGATAGAATGCATTTCTACTAAGCACGTACACTAAAGGACAGGGTGCTGTGTGAGGGTCATACAAGGTAAATAGCATCAGATGCTTTCTTTTACTGTCACGGAGGTGCAGGGAGGGAGGGAGGGAGGAGTTATTAGCAGAGTATTCAGTCTCTGTGTCTCTGGTAGTAGCAACTCAAAGCCTAGTAAACAGAGTGCTATAGCAGTAGAGAGAATAACTGGGTTTGGGGCGATGGCTCTGTGGATATAGTGCATGCTGCATAGGCATGAGGACTCAGGTTCAGATTCCCAGCATGCAGTCTAGGCACTGAACAGCCACCCTAGCCAATTGGCATGCTCTAAGATCAGGGAGTGGCTATAGAAAAGAAAAAGAAAATTATGAGGACAGCACAGAAGAAGATACCTGATACAAATTGGGTTGGTCAGGTGTACGTCAACTTGACACAAGCCAGAGTCATTTGAGAAGTGGGAACCTTAACTGAGAAATGCCTCCATAAGTTCTGGCTTTTGGTAAGCTTGTAGGCATTTTCTTAACTAGTGATTTATTTAGGAGAATCCAGCCTACTGTGGGGGGGGGGCATCCCTGGGCTGGTGGTCCTGGGTTCTATAAGAAAGCAGGGAAAGCAGGCTGAGTAAGTCAGTGAGTAGCGCTTCTTCATGGCCTCTGTGTCAGTTCCTGCCTTCAGGTTTCTGCCATTTGAATTTATGTCCTGACAGCTTTTCATGAAGAAGAATTATATGGAAATATATGTGAAATGAACCCTTTCTTCTCCAAGTTGCTTTTGGTCATGGTGTTTTATCACTGCAATAGAAATCCCAAATAAGACACAAACCTATGGCTTCTACATGCACACTCACAGGGGAGCACACCCCAACACGTGACATGCATGCACATAGTCTCACTCCACACCGCAGCGCCCCCTCCCCCTGCAAACAACAACAAAACAACCCTCCAATAGGTCTCCTCTAGTTCCCAAGCAGATGAGCTGTTAAATTTTAATCTAATTGTTTGAATCAATTCAGGAACTTGCTTAGATATTATTTATCCAATAAGAAACTCCAGCCCTGGGCTGCTCACTCACCAGTCGGCTGAGTCGCTGATGGCAGCCTTGGCCCATGTGCCGGCCTCTGTCATTATGAATCCCACATCATCATGAGAGCTGGAAGAGGACTGGTCTGAGAGGTGAGGAGGAAGCACAGGCAGCCTGTCATCTTCAATCATGACACTGTCATCATGTGGCATGTTCACCGTGGGTGACAGCTGGCATTTACCTGACCAGTGAAAAGGAGAAATCCTAGATGTCAATGCAAGTGCCAAGCCTGTTAACTGTAAAATTTTTGTACATACAGAAAACCCCTTCTTGACACACCCTCTCAACCTGATGGAATGAGAATATAGTGTATTTATTTCTCATCAAACACTGTCAAACACAAACCTCAGGTCCATATGAATGTTTCTGCAGCATGGTTACACAGCATGCAGCATGGCAAGTGGCATCTCTGCTTTTAAGTTTCCCAAAGACAAGGATGACCTCCAAAATGCCTTACTGTGGGCATGATACACAGCTTCTTAGCTATGAGTCTTCTGGAAGGTTTTACTGGGAAATCTGAAGGGAAACCCCACAAACTTTCAATGATCATCTATTTACTCATGCACTAGGTAACTACTATAGGGCAGGCAAGTGCTTAGGTGACATCATCTCTGTAACTGGTGAGTTGCACTCTAATGAAAGAGGAAAATTGCCTACAGAGCAGTTAACTTGCAGTGTGAGAACTGTGTCAGTTGTGTTCACACGGATGGATGAAGGTCAGATGTGGGTAGTATTGCTGAGAATGTCAACGAAAGTTATCAGAGCTAGGTTTGGAATGGCAGTTAGGAATGACGGTATTTATCTCAGAAAGTCGCAACAAAATTAAACCACGATGAATTCAGGCGACACCTGACAAAGCCTGGCATGCAAGCCAGGGAGGATATCTTTGAAATGAGAGTGGCCTAGAAGTGAATAGCTTAACAAAGATCCAGATGTGTTGCTTGAGGCTCCAAGACTTGCCTGGAAGGAGGGATTACTAAGTTTGATTTTTCAGTTAGGAAAGGCTCCAAGTATCTCTGTCTTCTGTCTAGTCCCTTGCAGGAAAATTTGTTGAGGTTCATAGTTCAGCATGGCATTCACATATCACAAGCTTTCTTAGAACAAAACTTGTTTCAAGTCCTGTCTCTAAAGGTAATGCTGGAGGATAAATGGTATCCTTATCTCCTATCACTTAAAGTTCTTGCAGCTTCTTTGCAAATTCTGTATAATTTGTTTTCTGAGCATGGATACACTGACAAAATTTTGGTCCAGGTGCACACCTTGTAAGAAGCTGAATTCTCAGGACAACCACCCTAAGACATGGAACACTAAAGGGTATTCCTCAGTTAGCAAGGAACCATGACAGTTTCTCTGCCTCCTTCATGGGATGATAGAAAATACTCCCTGCAATTCTAATGTCCAAATCTGTTCAGTCAATTATACTGGAATACCAAATAATGTATTCGCTGCCATTTTGTGCAATATGCTCTTTCCCATCAAAATAGAGTTTCCAAAATAGTTCAACAAACATGTATTAGTATTTTAATATTAGTCTTAGATCTAGCTGTAAGTTGAGAATTCATTAGCACAGATACACTGGAAAGGTAAGTAGCACAGTAGATCAGTCTCTGGCTCTTTCAGTAAAGAAACAGAAAACCATTTAAGTTGTTGGATATCTTTCAGTCCTTACAAAAAACCTTGCTAGAAATTACAAAGGCATCATTACTTAGCATTAAGCGGTCTGTTACAGAAACCATGAATGTTCATTAAAACCTCTGCTCAACATAGCAGCTAGGAAAACTTCCTACTTATATTGAAATGTGCTATTTTGACAAACTGTGGAGCTGGAAGCTTCTGATGAATGTTCATGACACAAAAGTAAATCAAATGGAATTGTTTTTCTGTGTTGATTTCAAACCACCAGTTTTCTTTCCACTCAAGTTATAGGATATTAGAGTAGAAACCTGCTAAACAAAATGTCACTTGTAGATCAGGTAGTAAATTCCAGCACCATTGGCAAAAAAAAAAAGTGTTCCTGTATTCCTTTAAGACATAGTTTGTCTCCAAAATAACCATATTGAATTCATAAAACAAGGGTTCCTTCCCCTGACTGGAGAAGCATATGCCACATTATTAAATACCAAGTCCTCATCCAGGAAAAATTTAGCCAAGGAAGTACCACAGAGTAATCTACATTGCATACTTTTTTAAAATGAAACATGCAACCCCTTGTATTGACACATATATTCTTAGTGAAAGCCTAATAAGAAACATAGGCCACTGACTGGGTCATACAATCCCCTTTTGAATGTGTGTGTGTGTGATATATTGTTTTGTGTAGAAACAATGCACTGTACATGAGATACTGACAGAATTTCTCTCTCTCTCTCTCTCTCTCTCTCTCTCTCTCTCTCCCCTCTCTCTCTCTCTCCCTCTCTCTCTCATGCACGCACGCACATGCACACACACTCTCTCTCCACAGATGGCAAGACGTCTCTCTTCCATTACTCTCCAGTCTAATATTCTGTAAGATGTCAAGATCTGAAGACCCATATTCTGATCCTATTTGCTTGTCTGTGAGGAACTACTCCAGAATCTGGTTCTGGAAACCAGCAGTGACACATGACACCAGACATCTACAGTTCAAAGCTACATGTTTCACTGAGACACACCAGGATATCTTAATGACATCTGTTGGCCTTTGATACATCATAGGTAAGAAGACTCTGAATCATAATTCAACATGACTTTGGTTTTTTAGCTGATCCCCCCAACCCCCACCCTCAACTATTTCATCAACTATCTACAGACTATAAAAAGAACATTCAGGATCTTATAGAGTGAAACAATAACATACAAGATGATTGTTTACTAGACATTTATTCATTGATCAATTTACATAGGATGCAACATAATGCATGATATCAGGAATAAATGAAATGAAAACTGTCAGCAATAAGACTCATTATAAAACCAGCACCAATGTCAGTTTTCTGTGTCAAACTTTTAACAAAATGAAAATATTCCAAACATGATTATTTAAACTCACCATAAAAGTATGAATATAGAAACCATTGAGATAAATAGTAAAATGAAATAAAATTTTAGTTCAAAATAGAAATTTCTTTGAACAAAATATGCAGACAGACAATAACTAAAAATAATAATAATAATGTTCTATGTTCCCAAACATGAATTTGAGATGCATCTTATGAAGTAAGCATGTTGGTAAACTGTGCCTAATCTTTTACTGCTGAATAGTTGGAAAGGTCTTTCAAGGTTTATCACAGGAGAACTCCTAAGTAGGCTCACTAAGTGATACTTCTGGCCTGATCTGCTATTGTCCATCTACCTACCTACCTATCTGTTCAATTACTTACTTACCTATTTTTGTGGTGCTGGGAGCAGGGCACTTTACATACTAGGCTATATCCCCAGTCCTTATGAGTTACTTTCTAATACAAGACAAGGAGCCATGTTCTACTAACATCAATGGCAGTGGGAATACAGCCAAAAAATGACTGTGGTTATCTCTGGTCTTTGGTCACATTTCTGAGTGATTTATCCCAATCCAGAGATAAATCAGCTGTTACTAAAGAGAAAACCACACCTTTGAATTATGGTTCAGAAACATCATATGCCACTTCAGTCAAGCCACTGAACATCAGTCTGTAACCCCTTAAACGGAAGAGCAGAATGGAGCATGTGACATGAGTGGAGAAGAAATGTCTGAATCACAGTGGGGACCACAGGGTCTAGGCCCTGGAGACACTTCGATGGCTTTCAGTCAATGTGGTGCCATTAAAACTTACCATGAGATCTTGGCATTCCCCAAGAGGGCTATTTTTAGAAAGAGGAAATAGCTAAAATCGAAATAAAACTAAACTCATCATGGGGTTTTGGGACAAAATTTCTTTTTTCTGGCAAATGAGACAGTGTGACTGAGGACATCTGACATCCTTCCAATTAAAAAAGATGTTTCTTTTGGGGTGTAATTTTACAAGTCAATCTCTCCTGGGATGTATAGCCATTCAAAAATTATCACAGGCCTTAAAAATTCCTTTGGTTGCATGTACAAAGTATTCTTTGAGGAAAATTTGCCCTTCTCACATAAAATTAAGTACTTCTTTGTGTTATGATCAGGAATTTCAACACCTCACTTTATAATATGAAACCACGATCTACATTGGATTGAGGCAAAGGACCTGGAAGAGAATCATGACCTAGTCAGGTAGGACCTGGCTGAGAGATGTCTATGCATCTGACAGCACAAATCAGGACACTAACGGAAGAATGGCACACTGAGATTGGGTGTTGCTTCACTACTAGTGGCAAAGTAACATCTTTTACAAGATTTCTAATCTCAGTATATCTAACTTCACTAGTATCATGCAATCCTTGAGGCCAGTAATACTAGAATAAGGACTGAAAAAAACATAACTCTGAAGTTTGTAAACAGCATGATAAATTGAATTAAGTTTATATCTTTCTCTAGGTAAAGTCACGTGGGGCTCTTAGCTTCTAGTACAGGATATAAAATATGTCTTAAGGACATGGACAAATGAAGAAATTGTGAAGCCCTGGATTCAATCTCCAGTTTCCCTTCCCCAAAAGGTATTCTACTGTAAAAACTTGGACTACTGAGTATGATATCATCCCCTAGCCCATATGTTCCAGGACATGTGCGGAGCAACACCAAGCATAGCAGGAGGGACCAGCCTGTGAGGGGAGTCATCATGAGTGTGAAGGTTCTTTACATACCTAGCAGAGGGAGGGAAAATACTGCTGACCGAGTTACCCGCTGAAAAAGGACTAACAGGACAAAACTAACAAAATTGGGTGACAGAATATGGAGAAAATGACGTACTCCTCAACCCATGTCACACATTTCAACAAGTCACTAAGTAAAAATCAGGAATGGGCTTGGTATGTGTTTGAGTGTTAGGTTTTCGCCTTCCTCTGAAGAACCAGGGATTGGAGGCAGGATGCAGGTTACAGGAGCTGCTGTACCAATGGGTTGATCAGTATGGCAAATCCTATGTTCCTATAATAAAGGGGAAATTACAGCGTATCACTTTGTATGCACACAGATCCAGGGACACATGCACACATTCTTTCTCAGGGGTCTGAAATTTTGTCAACAGATAAGACAAAGATGCTCTACAGCAAAGTCAAGAAGCGTGGATAACCCAGCAGCAGTGAAGAGTGCTAACAAACAGGCAAACACCAAACTAGAAGCTAGAACACGGGGCTCAAACCAAGAGCAAGGATTGCCTCCCTGGTTCTCTCATGCCAGGTATGTAAAATTAGAAAAGCAGCTCTCTTTTACCAAGACTAGAAACTGAGAATTTAGCAATTTCTCCAAAGCTAGATGAGGAGGAAGAAAAATGACAGGAAGCTGCACTAGCCATGCTGACGTACATATATACTATATTTCTACAATGCTCAGTAGAAAGCTCTTTGATGATAGACACTGCTCCTTAACTCACCCACGTCTACTGTTAACACCATACCTTGCCAACATAAGCTTTCCATAAAACCCCCAACAAATTAACCAAACTCTGTTTCAATGATGCATTACAGTGGAAACATGTATCTGTATTAGGTCTGTATGGAATATACTCAAAATGTATCTAAATTTAGGGTTTTACATTAGAGGGGTGCAACACAGATCATTAATCTGAGTTGTCTTATGTCAAAACTATTTCTTATACTTTAAATTTGAAAACTCTCTCAAGTTAAACCCCAGATGAGCAGTTCTGTAGAGCCAATCCCTTCAGGATCTGCTAGGACAAAGTTGAGCTATAGCAAGAAGGTCACTTAAAATGGCACCGCCCACTGAGTCTTAGAAGGCAGCAGGGGTGGATCAAAAAAAGACACAGAAGAGCTAAGGATCTAAAGAACAAAGCTAGGTTCTTCTTGCTGCTGTTTTTGTTTTAAAGACATGTCTCATTATGTATCCTTGGCTGGCTAGAACTCTATGTATAACAAACTGACCTTGAATTTGAAGATCCACCTCTGCCTTCCACACCCCAGTGCTGAGATTAAAGGTATAAGCTAGCATATCTAGCAAGACTAAAGCTTTGATAAAGCATAAATGTGACAAAAATTTTATTCAATGCCACCAAATAATGAATACTTCACATAAACATGTATTTTTCATCTCAGCAGTGCTACTAAGTGACAACTTTTGGATTCCTTTACTAAAATCAGTGTGTGTGTGTGTGTGTGTGTGTGTGTGTGTGTGTGTGTGTGTGTGTGTGTGTGTGAGGCAGGGGAGTGCCCATGTGTGCCAGCCTTAGGCATTGCTTCTCAGGAGCTGTCTACTCTGTTTTTGAGACAGTCTCTCATTGAGATTAAGAGACTGCCCATTAGGCTAAGCTGGTTGGCTGGCTGGCCAGCCAATGGGCTCCAGGGCTCCTATTGTCACTGTGTCTCAGCACTGGGATTACAAACATGAACCACCACATCTGCATTTTTCATTTGAGTTCTGGGGGTTGAGAATAGATTCTTATGGTCACACAGCAAGAATTCTACCAACTGAGTCACCTCCTTGGTCCTAGTCATTTGTTAAAACATAGCTTCCCCTACTGTTCTCAAATATTTTGATGATTGAAAACATTTCTTTCATACCCTTTTCCTTTCTGTCCTCATCATACAGTTGAGAACTGAAGCCTATTTAATCACTCAGTGCATGGAGATACTTTTCTCACATTCATGTTTCCTTCATGACCATAATGAGACTGATCTCTTGGAGACACAGGCTTCCTTTACATTAATATTACATTAATCCCCTCCCATTGAACCAGGATAAGCATAAACATGAGATGAAGATGAGGAGAGCTTTACCTGACTCACCCATTATTCTGCTGAGTGCAGCATTCCTGGTGGGAGACTCTTCCAGCCCCTCAATCCCGCTGTAGAGGGAGTGTGAGATCCTGCGCTCTCGGTCATCCAACTCTGTTTCGATGGGCAGCTCAGGTGCAGCAGGGCTCCCAGGAGACCGAAGCTACAGAGAAAGGGAAAGGGGAACATGAATCTTGGAGGTTGGTTAGCAGCATGTGGCCACTATAACAACTTTCTAAGGCTTGCATCCAACCAGGCCTCAAATGAACTAGAACTTTTCAACCTACACCAAAATAATTTGTTCAGCTCGGCCTAATGACCAAATTTCAGTGGCACTTTATCCAACACCTCCTATGAAGCCCTGTCATATTTCAAGCACAGAAGGAAAAATATGCATATTAAAAGATTTTTTTAAAGTTTCACCTTATTGCTTTTTTTCAATTTGATTGAAAGCATGGACTGAGGTCAAAACAAGTTATTGCTTAATTAAAAATCCTGCTACCTGTCGCTCTGTGAAAGGCAGGCCTTGTCAGAGGAGATTCTGGGTTACTTATTTTTGTAACTATAGGACAGAAACGCATTTGCCTCCTCCACGTATCAGTTTAGGCACCTTTAGCAACACACTGAATCTAAATTCTGTAGAAACAAGACTAGTTGCATAACAGCAAGGCCATCTATAAGTTTGTGGCAATAACTGAGAAACATTGTAAGCATGCACAAAAGAGTATGAGTAAGACTCAGATCTTTTTGAATATATGTAGTGTGCATGCATCAAATGCCGGGTTTCAGATGTGTGTAGGTTCATGTGCTCTAGTGTTCGGTCATGTGGAGGCTTGAGGTGTGTTCTAGTGTTCGTTCATGTGGAGGCTTGAGGTTCACCTTGGGTGTCTTCCTTGATTGCTCTCCACTTTATTGAAGCAGGGTCTTTCACTCAACCTGGAGCTTGCTCGTTGCCATTAGTCTACCTTACTATCTTGCTAAGGGGACCCCTACCTCTATCTCAAGAGTTCTAACATAATGGGCAGCTACCATGTCTATCTAGTTTTTAGCTGTGGTATTAACATTTAAGTACATTATCCACTGAATCATCTCCCTAGTTTAGGACCAAGTATTTTGATGCAGCACATAATGACATGAACATTAAGCAAATTCAAGAAATCTACTAAAGGAGTAAGGAGAAGCAAGTCAAAGAGCTGGGAGTGTGGCTCCGTTCCTACAGTGCTTGTTTAGCAGGATGAGACCCTGGGCTCAATCTCCAGCATTGAATAAACTGAGTACAGTAGCTCACACCTATATCCCAGCACTTGAGGTAGACAGTTCAGAAGTTCGATGTTATCCCCTGCCAAAGGATGGGTTTGAGGCCAACCCAGTACACAGAAGGTTAAGTTTTAAAAGATTAAGAAGAAAAAAAAGTTTGTCATTTTCTAAAAGGTTTATCTCTATGACTGTGGATTGAAATAGCATGTAATCATTCTTATCACTGCTGTGTCCTACAAGTCATCTTCTCCATAGAAATAGCCAGAAGAAGATGTCCATGTTAGGAAGGATTTAAACAGTTTACTTGGTGAAGGGCCTGGCACCACAGGAACCATAAGGACCCATGAAGATTAGTCCTTTGGAGTGGTGCTACTGGCACACAGCCAGGCAGGCAGGGAGGGTCTTAGATGAGTAGCTACTTCAGTCAATCAGGGAGCCTACACCATTCAAACAGGAAGCTGTGCTGGTATGCTGCTGTGCATAGAACAGATTATTACTTTTTAGGAACTATCCTGTGTTAACATAATGAAATAGTTAATGAAGTTTTAAGCTGTAGGCTTACCACTCCCAGTCTGAGAAGAACTGGAGAGAGGTGGAACCCATTGAGGGGTCAACACAATTACAACGGGGACCATCAAGCTACAGGAGAATAATAAAATTGCAGTGTGGTGAATTGGACTAATACGGTTTAAACTGTAAAATCAGGATTCGTTTTTAGTTTTATCTTGAAACTGCAGGTTACAACTGACAGCTTAATTGACAAGTAAAACATTCAAGGTCTCTGATATATAGACATAAAAGAAAACGATCTACAGGACCATGATGTATCAATTCTCAGATACCTTGGGGAAGCAAAAACTAAAGCAAAGCGCAGTCCCTGTACATTTCAAGAAAACTGTACTCTTTGAAAACTCCACTTTTAGACCTGTTGGGTAGCTCTGTAGCAGAGCATGCCCTGGGCCTTGCAGTCCATAAGCAGCATAAGAAAGAAAGGACCCAAAACAAAACCAAAACTCTTGTTAGTTTTAAATGGTAATAAATATTAAAGACATTTGCCTTGCAAGTCTCTAGAAACAAGTTTGCTTGCTTACTATAGGGTATTTTATCAGGAGACACATACGAAAAAAATCCTTTGCATTTGCTTTCAAAAATAAGTTTAGATCCACTATTCAATTCTACAATACTCTGTTAAAAAAACCTTTATAAATATTCTTTATTTAAGAAATTAAGAATGCCAACAGAATATTTTAATATTATATTAAGTTAAATAAAATTCCATTAAAAGAGAATGGGCAGGTTTTGTAGAAAAAAATCACTTATGATGCCTGTTCCTAAAGAGCACACATGTAAACATTCTCCACCTTAATCATGTCTAATTTACATATGAAAAGACAGATTTAAATGATGCCATCAATAGTCTACTATATAAATATTTAACAGAACTTAGAATGCCTTTTAATTTCCCCAGTTTTAATGTGGTCTCATTGTTTTGCTTGGTTTCTGACAGGGTTCACCCTGTAGTCCTAGCTGGATGGGAACTCACTTTGTAGAGATCTGCCTGTCTCTGCACCTCCTGAGTGCTGGGAACACATTGGCAATTTCCCAGGTTTTTTTTTTTTAAGTTGGGGGGTGGGGGTGAGGGGTGGAGGAGTGTTGTTTGTATTTTGGAGAGAGAGTTTCTCTGTGTAAACCTGGCTGTCCTAGAACTCCCTCTGTAGACCAGGCTGACCTTGAACTCAAAAGATCTGCCTGCCTCTGCCTCGTGAGAGCTGGGACCAAAGGTGTGTACCATCACACCTGGCTAATTTCTCCAGTTTTAAGAGAAGGTATTGAAAAACAGTTTGGATTAAAATCTTTTAATTTTTCCCCTTTTTTTCTGCAAGAAATCAAATATCAAAAGGTGGTCTGCTGGCCATGCGGAGGAGATGCAGGAAGCCATGAAGAACATTCACACTAATCCATGCCTTACAGGCCTTTACATTAGAACTTACTAAAATTAGTAAAACTTAAATAAAAATAAGATACAAACTTAAAATTTAATGGAATTAGAAAATGAGTGTAAACACAGCTGCTCTTCTCAGGCAGTTCCATCTGTTCAAAAAGCAGAAATCTGCATTTTCACCCACCTGGCCCAAGGGCAGAGCTGGAAGGACCCTTTTACTGGTCTCTAGAACAGAGCGTTGATCTACCAAGAAAAGAATAGCAGCTGTATCCAGCATAGGGACCATTTGGTAGGATGTAAAATACACTATTTCCTGACTCATTGAGTAGGAATATATTTCTCTTTGTGGTCACTATATAAAGGAACTAACAAGCTAGGTCGTTAATAAAGGCTCCTATGAATCATTATTATAATCTTATTTATAAGCATAAAAGTTGCTAATAAAAAGTGAATAACAATAAGAATATTATGTTTTCAAAAAGATTTTCAGATGATATGTTGCTTTTATAAGTGGCAGTAACATCTTTTTAATAATAATCAACTGGATATTCTCCATCGATTATGGTTTTTTAATTAACTATTTGGAATACTTCTGAAAAGCTAAAAATTTGGTTTTCTTTAAAATAAGGAAGCATATACAAGTGTGTGTGTGTGTGTGTGTGTGTGTGTGTGTTTTGCCTTTTTCTAGGACTGCATTAGTGAGCCAAATGAAACTTTTCACATAAAGAGAAGGAACCACTGAATCCCACTACCTCCGCCTGGAATGTCAGAAAGCTAGAGAAGAAACAGCCTAATCTTCCCTCAGCAACCCTCCCTGGATCCTACCCAGTATCTGGGAGATCTCATTAATTGAAAGTTCATTTTTTGAACATATCAGTTTATATTTTAACCTCATTGTTTACCATAAAGCAGGCACTGGCTAAATGACTGGCTGAATAAGAAGTGGGTGAGTCTGATCCTCCTGAAAATGGCACACTAGGTTCTATGGAAGTGGTCTTGAATGCTGGGTTCAGTACTGTATAACATTTGACCTAGATTATAGTTCTACTGTGGAAAATACTAATGTCCAAAGGGTGGAGAAACCTAAAGTAAATAATAAACGGGTATGTTTCAAATCTGAGGGTAGGTTTTAGCTTTTAAATTTTATTTTGAAACTAAAATCTAATTATATAATTCTCCTCTTCCTCTTTCCTCTCTCCTACCCCTCAGAAATTCACGGCCTTACAAATTGTTATTAAGCTGAAATACAAAGATGCAACTTTCTCAGTCCATATACGGTTACTTATGTGTGCATGATTTCAGAGCTGGCCACTTGATGATAGATAACCAATGGAGGAGAGATTTTAGGGCTCAATTTCAGGTTCTGATTTCATTTAGTTTCCTTCATGTTCTTAGGTGGTGACAGCAAGCTCCCCCTACAAGTTCCAGGTGTAGAAGAACCAGAACTCAGTTAGCTCTATCTTTCTCTGATATTCATACAAGTTTTCCATGTTCCTCTCACAGCACTGAGTAAGGACACAGTCAGATTCAACAGGGGATGGTGGCGCTCCTGCTTCTAAATGGCTGTCACTATGCTAGCCACATGGCCCCTGCTCACTTCACTGGCTATGTGAATCCACCTCTTAAAACACACTAGATAAGAATCAGGAATGATTTTCCAGGCTCTTTCCTATTCCACAACACTTTCTGATTCTAAGAGGATTAAATCTAGGGAAAGAATTAATTTTGAAGTAGTCAATGATGTCTAAATCTCCTCACATGAGGTTTAAGACACAAGTTCACCTGGCAGCTCTTTATATTTAGGCTAAAATAAGGCTTTATGTAAAATATCTTCTAACAGACATACTGAAATAACTATGCAATGTTGAATTATGGCAATTTCTGCAAATATCCATTTCCTTCAATGTTTAAAATCAACCTAGTTCTCATATATAACTTATTTTGAGTACAAGATTGGGGGGGTACCAGTCCCCTCCAGCATCCTTTAGAATGCAACACATATCTCCCTTGAGGTAAATGATATCTATTTTGTCTTCCTGTTTCATGCATTCCAAATCGGAAGGAAGAAAAGGAGAAAGAAAAGAACATCATGAGGTCAGAAATAAAAAATAAACAAAACAAACTGTCTCTGAAATGTCCATCCATCCTTCAGGAGTGAATGGTAGTGGGGCATAGTGTTTAAAAATGCCCCATCATACCTCAGGGGTAAAGGGGATAAAGGAACGATAAAACATAGTGGAAAGAAAATTCTGAAATTGAAAGGCTACTGGAGGACCTTAGCTACCAGAGAGAGGTAGAAGCTGCAGAAGGAGTCAAGGCAGAGAGCGCCCCAGTGAGGGGGCAGCAGCTGTGGGTGAAACAGAGCTTGAGCAGGTAGCGCAATACAGATAGCACTAGGCCCCAGATGCCACAACAGCCTGACCCTGAGGCCATGTGGTGTCCATCCTAGAGCACTGAGCAGATCAGTTTGCTAGGTGCATAGAAAGCAGTCTATGGAAGAACTTGCTACTGGAATCAATCTCTAGAGCTGCCCTGGAAGGCCACAGGGGAGTGCCCCTAGTGCTGGGGAGTGGAGCTACGTGGAGATAGGTCCTAGGCAAATCCCAGAGACTAGCAGGCCAGCCAGTCTACCCAAACCCATAAACTATGGTTTCTGTTGAGAGACTCTATCTAATAATAATAATGATAATAAATAACATAGATAAACCAAAGAGGAGAGTGTACACATACATAGCACCACCATATATGAGGAAAGGAACCATGAGGCCAAATAAACAAGCTTCCATTCACAAATTCTCAACGTCTTTAATAAAACATTAAAGTTACAAGCCTTGCACTTCGAGAGGAGTGGGTGAGACATCATGTTATGGTCCCAGACTGGACTCTCATGCCTATAAAAGCAGAGCTCAAGCACATTATATGGACTGAGGCTCACTCATGTCAGCAAGATGGCCTAGGAGGACATTCACATTTAGTGGAACATCATTTACACAATCCCTCCCCGGGGCTCAGACAGAAAGTATGTCTGAAGTGATTGATATAAATGCCACACCAGGAAAAGCACATGTGAAGCCTGTTGGGAACCCAATTACATAGCTCCTCTGACTGCATAATTCGTTAGTTAAATCCTGTCAGTACAAATAGATCCTCCATTGCCTTAGAAAGCTCAGTACTTACCATAAGATAATACACACACACACACACACACAAATATATATAATTATAAGTTTACTGTGTCCTAAGAAACAGTAAGAACCAGGCATGTAGGAAATTTTAGCAAGGGGGGCAGAGAATTTGAGTCGGCAATGTCTATTGCAGTAGCTCCCACACTTGAATCGTCTTCATTCACATAAATTCAAATGTAGAAGTAAATGTGATAGGGAATTTTCAGTGGGGATTCTAGACTCACATATTTCATAGGGCAAAATGGAATAAATAAATGCCTTTATCAAAACATTTTCAAGCTGGTGCAGGATTGCCTAGCTCTTGGGGAATCAGAGCCCTACAGAAAGAAGTGTCTTCTTCGTCATTCTTTACTGCAAAAAACTTTCACAACATTCCATATTCTGGTGTGTGTGTGTGTGTGTGTGTGTGTGTGTGCCCTCGTGCGCATGTGCGTGTGTGCATGAGAGAGAGAGAGAGAGAGAGAAAGAGAGAGAGAGAGAGAGAGAGAGAGAAAGAGAGAGAGAGAGAGAGAGAGAGAGAGAGAGAGCAGTTGCAGTTGAAGCCCTCTATGGCCCTCCCTTTATTTATTAGAGTCCAAATCTCTTATTGAACCTGGAGTTCTGAGATTCAGACAGATGGAAGGCCGGTGACCTCCAAAACCCACAGATTCTTTCATCTCTATGTCCCTAGTGCTGGGATCAAACTTAGGTCCTCATGTTTGTGCAGTAGCATCTTCCCACCATGCTGTCTTCTTGGCCTCCAGATCTTGATTTAAGATCAAGGCAAGGATCCATTTATGAGTAGACACTGCTGTGTATCCATCATCTAACACATTTTCTGACATACAGTAGATGCTCAATACACACCTATAAACTGACTTCTGCCCTTGTGAATCAGAAGCAACTCATTTCTCTAAAGGAACTATCTAATATAGACACGTGTGTTGCACAACTTCCTGAGAACTTAGCACCCTACACAACTTAAAATAAAAATAGCAAACAGTGATTTGACAAAACTACCATTCAAGGCATGGAAGGCTGAGATGCAAGTCAATGAGAGTATATGTCCAACAAGTGTGAGATCCTGTGTCCACCCACAGCACCACTAATAGAATAACAAGGCACACTCCTGCAAGTCTACAGAAGTCAGACTTGTACTCTTCCCATACCAACAAATGTCTGCCCTATGTGTTTCCATTCTGAGTTTTTTTTTATTTTAGTTTTAAATGGCTTGTTTTACATATCAATCCCAGTTCCCTCTCCCTCCCCTCCTCCCGCACCCCCTCCATGCCCCCATCCTCCCACCCTATTGCCAATTCCTTCCACATAGGTGATATCTAGAGTCTGTCATTTCACTCAGGGTAGGGTCCAGGCACTCCCCTAAGAGTCCAGGCTGAGAGAGCAACCCTCTTTGTGTTATGGACACACGATGTCTGTTAGTATTCGAGGGATAAACACTGACCCACTGCTCAGGACCCCATAGGTTGCCCAGGCCTCCTCACTGACTCTCATATTCAGGGGGTCTGTATCAGTCCCATGCTGGCCTCCCAGCTGTCGGTCTGGGGTCCAAGAGTTCTCCCTTGTTCAGATCAGAGGATTTTAATTAAGGTTAAATTATTATTTGATGCAGAAGTTAATTATTATGACTAGCTAATTCTATATTAGGCACATAAAAACAATGCAAGTATGCATTGGTTAGAATAAGAAAGGCCATAGGTCCACATATTTGAAGCTTAGTTACCAGGAAGTAGCAATATTTTAAAGAATTAGAAAGATTAGGAGGTGCGATCTTGTTGGGAGAAGTGTGTCACTGGGGTGAGCTCTGAGGTTTCAAAAGCCGATGCCAGGTCCAGGCATTCTCAGTCTGCGGATCAAGATGTAGCTCTCAATTACTTCATCAACTCCATGCCTGCCATGCCTGCTGCCATGCTTCCCACCATGATGATAATAGACTAAGCCTCTGAAACTGTTAGCAAGCCCCTAATTAAGTGCTTTCTCTTATGAAGAGTTGACTTGGTCATGGTGTATCTTCACAACAACAGAACAATAGCTAAGACAAAGCATAAGCCAGTGATCCTATTGAGGTTAGTTCCTTCTACTTAATAGTACTACCCTTCAGAGAGATTCAGTTTGCAAAATAGGAGTGTAACCTAGGCCCCAGTATGTGACCATGATGTTGCTTTGAAATGAAAAAACACAGGCTCTTAGAGAAGGGTAGACTTCCAAGATCTGCCCAGTAAAGGACAGCAGGCAGTGTGAATCTCTCCAGCTTTCCCCCAAGTCCCTGAATAAAGTGTTTTGACAAGAAGGAGGAGAAAGAGAAGGAGGACACGGATGAGGAGAAAGAAGAGGAGGAGAAGGAGGAGGAGGACAAGGAGGATGAGAAGGAAGAGGAGGAGGAGGAGGAGAAGGAGGAGGAAGAGGAGGATGAGGAGGACAAGGAGGAGGATGAAGAGTATTTATTTTTCAATGTATTTTTCTGTTTGCTTCTGTGAATATGGTGTATACACATTTGCATGTGAGTATGGGTGTAATTGAGCCATGGCATGTATGTGGTTCTCAGTGCCTGTGGATCCTTGCCATCTAACTTGCCTGACAGAGGGTCCTATTCACTGTTTGCTCCTGCATATACTAAGCTACCTAGCCTATAAGCTTCTGTCTTTTCCTCCATCTCAACTGAGCCCTGGGACTCTAGACACATGCATTTCCAATTTCAAAGACTCAGCTGTAATTTACTTTATTCTGAAATGTGGGAACACGAGCACCAGTGAGAATACAAATAACTAACCTTACATTATCAACACACTCCTTTTTAGAAATTGGCCCAATATCTAAGGATGCTGCATCATTGAAAATTTAGTCTGTGGCTTGTTAGAATTTACAAACAGATCTATGTATGTATCATTTATTTTTAACTTTGCAACAATCTACTCTTTGAGAAAATTTCTTTCCTTTCCTTTAGGAAAGTCAAGGATCAAACCTTTCCAAATAGGATGCCCTGGCCCTGCAGTCACTGCTAATCACTTTTGCCAGTATTTCATTTTGTCTGTTTGCAACAAACACTGGGTGATGGGCATGGTGCACCCAGCTCTGTATGTCTGCCACAAATTTTGTCTGTAGTTGAGATCTATGAGAAAACAGTACTTTTAAAAGAGTTAGCTCCACAGAGGCGAGAGCGAGAGCAAGCATCTCCCACTCATCTCTGGGAAACAAAGATGTTTCTTCACAGCCACCCACAAAAGAACATGGATAAAAGGCAAGTCCTCTCCATTATAGGATTAGACAGAGGCATGCCACTTCACATAAGCAAGCAGCTCTCTCTTCTTGGCTCTCTCACTCCATGGAGAGCTAACACTTTCTGCAAGACTACTGGCTACCGGACAGATTATGGGCCCTGCTTTTCCAATGACATTCAGCTAGCTACAGGTAGCTCTGAGACATTATCTTTTGACTTGCAACAGAAATATTCAGGTACATTTTGAAAAACTTTGACCACAAAATCAATAAAACACATGAATCTGGAGCTGGAGGTCAATTCATAGAGCCCTTGCCAAGCATGCACAAAGCCCTGGGTTTGGTCCCACGCATTGTATAACCAAATGGTGGTACATACTTATAACTCTAGCACAGGAAGAGCAGAAGTTTAAAGTCATCTTCCACTGAAAGCTCAGTCTATACTGGATGACATGAGACAATATTTGAAAAAAAAATCTATGAGCAATCCCACACAATGTCGGCAAGTAACAGAATAGTGACGGCTTTCCTAGGTGACCCCTGTGTTCACCTCATTGCATTTGCTGATCCGCCTGGCCACGATGAGTTGGATCATGCCACGCTTGTTGCCCTCAGTAGACATGGACCTCCGCAGAGTCTCCATGGCTTCCTGGTTGGCTTTGCCCAGCAGAGACTCTCCATTCACAGCTATCAGCTGGTCATTCACTCTCAGTCTGCCATCCTGTGAGGAAGGAAAGTAATGTGAGTATTGCTGAATAGTTTGCAAAAGAGATTGCTTTCCCCTAATTTTAAATAATTAAAGCAAGAGAGGAAAGGGAAAGGGATCTGGGAGCTTTAATCACATTGCAAGCAGCTGTTGTAGTCTATCTATTTTAGTCTTTTAGGCATCCCTGAGTAATTATTATAATCTCCTAACTAAAATGGAATACTAATTCAAAGAACACAAAGTGATCATCACTCACATGCTTTTAGAAACACCCACCAAGCTGATTTATAAGGAAGAACCATGACAATCAAGACAACTGTAGAAAGTGGTCTCAACAAACTTACTCTAGGCTTAGAAGGAACAAATGACCTACCAGTAAGGGAAACAAAAGAAGACCTTCTCCCCAGCCCAGGACCTGTGCTCAGCCTATGCACATATCTTCACTGAACTAAGAAAACCACAGATTGTGGGTCATGTGAGATTAAAATGAAGAGTTGGAGTGATGAGCTCCATCCCACCTTTCCTCAGTGTTTGGTCCAGGCAGGGGTTCTATAAAGAAAGAGAACATCACTAACAGAACATGTGTGCAGGTCAGAAAGAAGGCGATTGAGAAAACATTGCAGTGGGTGAGAAACCCTTGCACTGGGTGTAGATTGAAAAAGGTTGACAGGCGCTTACTTTGGATGCAGCTCCGCCATTAATAATGGACTTCACGAAGATTCCCAAATCTGCATGGTTCTCTTTGGAACGGTTCCCTTTGACACTGACACCAAGCCCTGCAGATCCCGAGTCATTAAGCGGAACTTCAAAAGTCAGAAACTCCCTGGTCCCATCGGGGGTGAGAACAATGTCCTCATCTTCAGCTTTCTAAAAAGGGAAAGAATTGCACATGGTATTAAAATCTGAATGCCTCAGCTACCACACTACAGACCTGTAAGGGTAGCTCTCTGATCAGCACTGGCAGATTATTTCCACCCCATGACAGGAACCATGATGATGTTATAGGTGTCCTTCAAGATTACACCAGACTCTTGCTGTGAGTTTAGGCTATACGTACATCTAAGAAACACAAGGAGTAATACAGAAGGGATATGTAGACTCCTAAAATCTGGGGCTAGTATATTAAGTCTTTGTTCTGTTCTGTATTATAAACTAGTAGAGAAATGCAGTTAAAAAAAAAAAGCCAAGATAAGCCAGACATCTCCTCAGGTATCAATTTAGGAGTGGACAGATGCCAGTGAGGCCTGCAAGTTAGTTCCTCTCTTTGCCCAACTTTCAGACACGACTTCAACATCTACTTAGACATTTAAACGTACCATCACTAACGGAGAATGACAGTATGGTGATCTATCACTTGTCCTAAATGGACAGTTTTCAAACAACTCTTGATTACTAATAAAGGATGGAAACAGTATTGATTTCTTAATTTTTCTTTGTACCATACCCAATTTTTGAAAAATTCTAAGAACTCAAATCAAATAACTATAAAATAATTTAAAAGAGAATTTGAGTCTTTCATATGTATTCTTGATTTCTTAATTAAATGAAGTTTTAGAAGAACAGTATTTACCTGTGATTTAAAAAAAACGAAGCTAAAAATATACAATGGAATAAAGAAAGCATCTTCAACAAATGGTGCTGGCATAACTGGAGACTGGCATGTAGAAGAATACGGATCGATCCATGTTTATCGCCATGCACAAAACTTAAGTCCAAATGGATCAAAGACCTCAACATAAATCCAGCCACACTGAACCTCTTAGAAGAGAAAGTAGGTGGTACCCTTGAACGAATTGGTACAGGAGATAGCTTCCTGAACATAACACCAGTAGCACAGACAGTGAGATCAACAATTAATAAATGGGACCTACTGAAACTGAGAAGCTTCTGTAAGGCAAAGGACACAGTCAGCAAGACAAAAAGGCAGCCCACAGAATGGGAAAAAATATTCACTAATCCCACATCTGACAGAGGGTTGATCTCCAAAATTTACAAAGAACTCAAGAAGCAAGTCTCCAAAACAGCAAAGGACCTAATTAAAAAGTGGGCTGCAGAACTAAATAGAGAGTTTTCAATAGAGGAGTCTAAAATGGCTGAGAGGCACTTGAGAAAGTGCTCAACATCCTTAGCCATCCGGGAAATGCAAATTAAAACAACTCTGAGATACCATCTCACTCCTGTCAGAATGGCTAAAATCAAAAACACCAATGACAATTTATGCTGGAGAGGATGTGGTGAAAGGGGGACACTCCTCCATTGCTGGTGGGAGTGCCAACTGGTTCAGCCACTTTGGAAATCAGTATGGAGATTCCTCAGAAAAATGGGAATAAACCTACCACAAGACCCAGCAACTGCACTCTTAGGCATATATCCAAAAGATGCCCATTCATACAACAAAGATGTCTGTTCCACTATGTTCATAGCAGCTTTATTTGTAATAGCCAGAACTTGGAAGCAACCTAGATGTCCCTCAACCGAAGAGTGGATAGAGAAAATGTGGTACATTTACACAATGGAGTACTATTCAGCAGAAAAAAACAATGGAATCATGAGATTCGCAGGCAAATGGATGACACTAGAAGAAACCATCCTGAGTGAGGTAACCCAGTCACAAAAAGAGAAACATGGCATGCACTCTCTCATATATGGATTTTAGACATAGATCTGGGGAGTGCCAGCCTACAATCCTATGGCCAGAGAGTCTGGGAAACAGAAACTTCATTTAGTGGCTGATCGAAGAAGAGGCAGACTCCCTCTTGAGCTGAACTCAAGAAAGCCAGTAACAGAGAGGGAGGACTGATGATCAAAGGGATTAAGACTGGGCTGGTTTAACCCCCAGAAACAGCTGACCAGACAAAGGTTAACTCTTGAATCCCAGGCATCAGCCTGGGAATCCAGCATGGGACTGATCAAGACCCCCTGAATCTGGGTGTCAGTGAGGAGGCCTAGGTAATCTATTGAGCCTTGGGAAGCAGATCAGTACCCATCCCAAGTATACACACGGACTTTGGACTCCCATAGAACAATGTGAGGTGCACTCTCACCCTGAACTCTTGGGGAAGGATCTAGGCCCTGCCCTATATGAAATGACAGACTATGGACACCCCCATGGAGGGCCTCACCCTCCCTGGGGGAATGAGGGGATAACGGGGGGGGGGAGTTGGGGGGAGGGCACGGGAGGAGGGGAGGGAAAGGGAGAGGGACCTGGAACTGACTTGTGAAGCAACCTTGTTTCTTATCTAAATTTAAACTGGAAAATAAAATAAAAAAAATTAAAAAAAAAAACAAATAAGGTAAACAGCGTGCCATTTTAAAACCTTTAAATACAAAATAACATTACATGTAAAGCAATGTTTCTAATTTGCTGACATTTGGTGTTAACATGTATGTGTGGGTGTGTGTCTGCTTGTGTGTATGTGCACACATGTAAATTTATCAATGATGATAAAGCAGGGGTCCATTAAAGGCTGTCTCAGTCTGATGCTGGCCTATATGTCTAGCCACACAGGAGTACATTCCTGGAAACATTTTAAAGACTAGCCTGACAGTGAGTAAGGAGGAGGTGGAGGTTTTCAATGACATAAAATCACACCCTTTTTAGAACATAAAAAGTATGCAGTAAAAAATGAAAAATAAATGTTGAAAAGACATGGCCTATGTGAAATAAATATTCACCATCAAATTGAGCTTATTGGCCCATTGTAAACACTTTCTTATCTTTATAATATTCCCAGAGAATAATTACAACACAACAAAACCAATGAATTGGAGACAAATTGAGATCAAATAACTGCATCAAAATATTGATATTTCACACACTTATACAGAAATATCTTTATACTCGTGTGGTACACTATAAATAGAAATGTTCATTTCATTTCTCATTTCTGTAATTTATCTGTATCAAAACAATTAAAACACTAAGTAATTATTCTGCAAATGACTATTACAACCTTAATGTAAATATAAAAAAATACTCTCTGGAGGATTGGAGCAGTTGGATGAAAGAACTCTGGCCTAGCAAGCAAGTTCAAGGGCCCAGGTTCATCCCAGAACTACAGACAACCAAAGTAATAACATTTAAAAGAATACACCACATGAATAGATTTCAATATTTAACAGAAATTAATAGCATCAATAACTCCAAGCCACACCATTGCCCTGTTGTATCTGGAATTCAGAAACAATTAAGACATAAAACAGATTTTTTTAAAACTCATATTTCTAGTACTGAGAATGCTGCATCTGAGAGGCCATGGAAGCCATAGCTCCTCAGCCTTTTGCTCAAATAAAGGAATCACACCTGTATTTAGTGAAGACAAGGACTCACCCTTAACATTCCTCCCCTCAAATCCAAAGGATCTTAATTGTCATTGACTGATTTAGATTTTCAGTTTAGCTTTTTCATATTTACTGATTTCAACATTTCCATAATGTTTTTACAAAGGCTTGAAATTCTCGGTTTTTTGCTACTTGAAAAATCAAGACAAGGAGCTGAGTGAATTCGTGAAGAAGAGGGCTAATCAAGGTGGGTGCGCTTCCCCACTGCCTTGCTTGGCAGTGTCACTTACTATGAAGACTGCAAGGGGCGGCAGGGGTGGGGAGTGGGGTAGTCTCTTGCAGTTCTCATATCAAACCTTGAGACTTTATTATCATTAACAACATTGAAGGGAGACACTGTAAGCTCCATTAGCATTTCATTATCAATCCACTTGGCTCTTGAACAAGATTGAAATTAACACCAGCTTTGAGAAATTAGTTTTTTGGCAGTGACTTTTAAAAGTTTGCTCTCCAAAGACCATTTGAGTTGCAAAATTATAAAAATTTCCACCAAGATGAGATTTGTACAGCATCTCTGTGTTCTGACCCAATAGAAACTACTTTCCCACTTCCTGTTATGCCATTGAAGCTGTGCCTTTCCCACCAACGGACTTTAGTTCCCACTTGAGAAAAAACATTAGCATATTTTCCAACACACTCAAGTCAATTTTGCAGTTCACTCCCTCAAGCACATGGAACATGGGTATCTCTGGGTGTGTGCATATATGAGTATGTGTGTCTGTCTGTCTGTCTGTCTGTCTATAGAGCATAAACAAATTTCCCATCAAACTTGACTGCAGTTCTTCTATGTTCTCTTCTCCACGGGCAATTCTGCCTTTAAATGTCCAGAAAACAAAGGGTAATTTTGCCAAGCATGTTAGAAATAAGGCCCCTGCTACCTAGTTTTCCAGTATCCTCAGAGAAGCAGAAGGGTATCTCCCATGTCCAATGAGGAAGAAAAACAGTCAATAGCCTTCCTCATGCCCTAGTGTTTTTTCTTGTGTCAACAATAGCCCCAGGAGCTCTGAGACACTGGCTCTCTGTGAGGGAGTATGAATCTACAGTGAACACTAAACGCATCTTCTTTTCCTAAAGAAAGGGAAACAACAAATCTCTAGGCTTCGACAGATAAAATGCACAAGATATTGTGAAGAAAAACAAAGGGAAAAAGTTGAAATCACAGATCACAATGGGGTGGGGAAAACACTCAGTGGCAGCTCTTCGAGAGACTACAGTGCACAAAGTTGCCACCCAGGAGTCAGTAGCTCTAGTCTGTAAAGCCCTGGTAGATTGCTAACGAAGGACAGATTCTCCCCACATCAAATTCAAACGGGAGGTGAGCAAGTCATCCACTAAGAAAGAACAGAATGATAGGTAAGCCCTATTATCCAAACATCACTTTTAAAAAAGTGTAAATGGATTGGGAATTGGCCAATAGCATTTGGCAATGTGCCAAAACAGATGTGTCTGTGCTGGGCATAGCAGTACATACCCATAACCTTAGAACTTACAAGGCTGAGGCAGAAGGACCCTGGGGTCAAGTTCAATCTGAGCTCCTAGAAAGGCTGTCTTCAAAATGAGAGATGTGGGGAGGAGAGAAAGGAAGGAGGGGAGGAAAAAGAGAGGAATATGTCCTGGAATGACAGGTAAATACATAAACAGACAGAGCATTCAGAAGGTAATTTAAGAGCATCTAAGTTTATTGAATATTGCATTATAAACTGACTGTGGCCATGTACATTTGCGAGGATGCCGGCTTCCTTCATTACAACTACCACAAACAGACTCTAAATGTCTGACACAAAATTAGTAAGTAAATTGTCATATACTTAAGGAGCATATATCACTCAATTATTTAAATTGTCTTAAAAAACACTTAGGGTGATAAAAATACTTTTATAATGGGAAATTTGGGTTTGCGGGAAATAAAGGTTCTTTTAACTTCGCTCACCAAAGCCTTGACAGTGATTTTTGTAAATTGCTTAATTTCTTTTCTGTATCAGCAAGAAGTTTCAAAGCAGAGAGCTTGATGGTGTGACAGTCTTAGGTAGTGTGAAGGACATGTCACTTACAGCTCCTGCTCAGGCATATAAGACAGGACACAGATTGGCTACATATGAAATGGAAATTATGAGCAAACACATCAATATCATGACAATAAAGTCACAGAACTGCAGGTAGTTTTCTTTTGCTTGGCTGAATTTTATGTAATGAATGAAACTATTTATGCAATCAAGGAATCTAATGTGCTATTAATTTTTTTCCTCAAAGACACAAGAAGGGGTGATAGACATAGACACTGTGGGGACACCAGACCTTGAGCAGAAACCCACTTCCCCTTCGGCCTGGGAGCAGGCATCTATGTAATGTTTACTGAAAACAATTCAGTGCTTTAAAGCTTGATAGGGCTCAGATAGGGCTGGCTCACTGAAATACCATGCCTTTCACACCTCCTAAGGCTAGATGCCTCTTCCTGCCCCCTGTGGTGTCTCCCCGATTCTGGGGCCGGAGATTAAACCACCAGCCAGGAGGGTGAGAAGTAGAAAGAATGGTATGTAAATGGATGGCAAAAGTCCTTAAAAAGGGAAGCTCTTTTTGCTTGGAGAGACTTCTGTTGAGACTTCTCCAGAGATTTCGCCAGGGACTTCTCCTGAGAGCTCTCTCCTAAGCGGACTGGGGTCTCCTCCTAAGCTGACTTGGGAAACATAAAGTTTTCTTAAAGCAACCGACCGGTCTCTGTGTCATCTATCCCGACCACCTCGCTACATTCTTGGATGCAGGCCGCACAGCAGGTGCGACAGACACAAAGTGAAGACAAACACAGTGGAGGGGGAAGACAGAGGGAGGCTGGCGGGGCAGGGGATGGGGCTGGGGTCATGGAGAGGATATGGCTGCATGGAAGCCATCAGAAAGAACAGCCCTCAGCACATTCCCAAGAGCTAGAAAAAGAACACACTGTGCAGGGATTGTAGACAAAAATGAGCAGAATTTTGTCATTTTAATTAAAAGGAAGACCTCTTACAATTTATCCTCATTTTAAAAAATTGGATAAACTAATCACAAATCAAGTTTAAAACCTGTATCTTGATTAAAAACAAATGCTTTTGAGATAGGATCATATAGCCCAGGTTTTCTGTGAATTCTCTATATACACAAAAATGACCTCAAAATCTTGGTCCCCATTCTTCCACCTACTGAGTGATAAAATTACAGGAGTGCATCACCATTTTCTTCTTCACATTTTTATTTATCAGATGAAGCATGAACATTTGTTATATGTTAATTGAACCAGTCTTTCTAAGATTCATTATTTAGACTGTTTATTTGTTATTGCTGCTTATTTGTGTAGTAATTGGGAATTGAACTCAGGACATTGCACAACTAGGATATACCACTGAGCTGCAACCTTATTGTTTCCCTACCCTTTGATTTTTTTTGTTTTGTTTTGTTTGACATGGTCTTTTAGGTTTCATAGACAGGCTTTACCCTACATCATCCCAAGCAGGACATGGCATGTAGATGCACTTACCTCAACCTCCCCAGTTCTAGGATCACCAGACCTGCTTATTAAGTCACAATCTTATATCTGGACTTACTGTTGAATTTTCTTATTCAACGAATAGCATATATTTTTAGACTTTAGAGTTTTTTGTTTGTTGTTTGATAATAATAATGATCACTAACTTACAGCAACTGCCCAGAAAAGTATCCAAAGAAAAATCAGAAAAACCCATGTTAAGACATATTCTCAAAATGATGTGCTCTTTAAGAGATGTTCTCAGAGTAGGTTTTCAAAAATGTAAAACAAAGAGACAAGGAAGGAATAGTTCAGACAGAAGATTACAGATGTATGACGACTAAATGCCCACACCACACCATTATCTTGTATCCCAGAGGTTCATTCTTAGTTAATGCTCATTTATTTTATAAACAACTATTATTAGTTAGAGCACTCTGAAACCAATGTCAGTTCATTGGTTTTGATAACTAGAGTAAACTTGCATAAGAAAATGTCCTTATACCAAGACATTTAGGAGTAAAGCAAAAAAAAAAAAAATCACATAAATAATTTACTGTCAGTTCAGAAAAATGTTTAGAGAGTATGGTATGAAGACTGCGTGGAGGAAAAAGAGGGTGAAAACTATGTTAAATGTAGCAAAATGTTAACAATGGAGGAGATGGGTGAAGAGAACTTGTTGGAATTCTGAAAGAACAGAAATAAAAAATAACAAAGTGATTGATCCATTCAGAATAGTCTTGCAACATTCTGTCTATATTAATATTACAGATTTCAACAGAAAAGGAAAACCTTTAAAGTTAAAAAATGTACATGTTGCAAAGGTACTAAGTTATCACTACACTGCAAAGATGATGACTGATAACAAATGCTGAAAATATTTCCAGGAAAATATGACCGAAACATTAAGCAGTCATTTTCACAGTAGAGGAATTTCAACTCAATTTCTCAGTGAGTCAGCCCTGTTTGTCTTTCCAGCACCTTTACATTCTGCAAAGAGTAGGTAAAAATCAGTGTGGGCAGATGAAGGATTTTAATCATACTGTGCTTTGAAAACCCACAGAAGTTAGTAAGATTCAAAGCCACAGAGAAATGTCACTCATTCCATAGCCAGGCTGCAAATCCTCCTTTCAGTATTTATATAAGCAAATGCTTCAGGATATGGCTATAGCTGTGGATAATACTAATAATAAGTAAGATAAAAATAAATATGTACACATAAAGATGTATGAGAACATAAACGTCCCTTGACTCACGGTGGAATTACACCTAGATAAACCTACTCTAAGCTGAAATACTGCAAACCTAAAATGCATTTGGCATACCCAGTGAATCCTACATCACAGCTAAGCCTTCAGAACATTTTTATTAGCTGACATTTGGGTAAACTATCAACTACAAAGATTATTACCCGATAAGGCATTCAAGTTCCCCAGTCATTTATTGATTTCTCATGGAAACTGAGGCAAGAGAATGGATATCATATGTATACTTCATAGTCTTGTGAAGTTGAAAACTTGTATTTTGACCCTTTGTAAGTTGGGGCTGCCCATGTGTTGGTCTTTGATGTGACAGGCATGTTTTTATTCAATGTAATTCAAATGTTTCACACTTTGTTCTGGCCAAGATTTGCTAGGACTTTCGAGATGTAAATTCGTGACCAACTAGGACTTACTGGGATAGGTGGTAAAACAGTATCAACCTTTTAAAGGAGAATGATTGGTTGCTGGTTCAGTTCTGCGATAGGCTGGTCAGCATTTACATGGGGTCAAGCCCAGCACTGAGCAAATAAACAATTTTTTTAAAAGCGAACAGGCAGTGTAACACATGCTAGTAAACCTCATTTCGTTACTAATTTAAAACGCTGTCTTCAGACACAAGCATACACGTGTGTGTGTGTGTGTGTGTGTGTGTGTGTGTGTGTGTGTGTGTGTGTGTATTGCAGGAGAAACTGCCATCAAGCCTACCCAAGCTGTAGTCGCCCTGCAGGGGTGCTGAGGCCAGACAGCAGGAGCATGCACAGCAAGCACTTCTTCCCTGAGCCAAGTCTGCCTCTTTGCCCAGAGATTGAAGAGGAAGACACCTGACTAGAGACACCAATGAGGAAAGGACATGCAGCAGAGTCAATGGAACCTTAGGAGGGGTATAAAGAATACCTGACTTATCCTCCCATCTTTCATTAAGACAACACTGCTTACCCTAATTATCTTATCACTGTGGTTATACGTTATATTATATGCTCTTAACCTCACCATATTATACAAAGGAATAGGAAATAATTCTGACATTTCCCTTTTTATGCTTGTTTGACAAATCCCCATTCCAGGCCCCTCCCCCTACATGGAAGTAAATAAAAGTTATTTTAAAAATAGATCACTTTAGTAAAGAGGAAGGACAAATAATATCATAATGAATTAACAAGTGAGCTATTTATCTTTGCAACATCTCTAAAGACAAGTTTCTTACCGTTTCTTTTGGAATCTGCATCTGGCTGGGTTCAGCATTCTAGAAGAATTAAGGAAAAATATGAATATTTCCATCATCAAGGCCTAGTTTCATTAAAGAAGATTAGGTTGCTTTCAGCACCATCAACTAAGCTGGGTAGTGGTGGTGCATGCCTTTAATCCCACCACTGTGAGGCAGAGGCAGGTAGATCTCTGAATCCCAGGCCAGCCTGGTCCACAGAGTTCCAGGACAGCCAGGGCTACACAGAGAAACCCTGTCTTGAAAAACAACAAAAGTTGATGATGATGATGATGAAATTCATAACTATACATGAAGGATCATAATAAGATGGCCAACACACAATTGTCTTCCAGACTGTGTCAGGTCTTAGACACATATTTCAGCAGTTCTTCTAGACATAAGTTTTCACCAGTTCATTCACACCACCGCATGAACTTTTATATACAGGAAAACAAACCTCATAAACTGTGTTTCTAAATATGCTGCTATCTCTAAACGTGTTTGCCACCCTCCACAACCAAACCCCAGTCTTGAAGTACAGGGCCACCTGATAGTTCTGCAAATAAAAGTAGTCAGTACTGCAGTGGGAAACACAATGTGATATTTGAAGGTGTTTCACAGGGAACAAATGTAATTCTTCCCACAGAATATAGAAAATGAAAGACTGGTATTTAGTTGATTTAATTTTTAATAAAAGACAAACACTAATTTAAAAGTATTTTGTTTAAGAACCACAGAAATGAAAGAGAGACACCCAAACACAGAGAGGTACACTAACTGGAGTTAAGAATTATTTTTAAACACTCCCTTTGACTTTTCAGAATGTTATTATTTAAGTCTCAAAAAGCAGCTGCAGCATGTGTAACAGACTGACAGCCTACTGGCCCCTTCCTTAATGAAAAGCTCACAAGCAATAAATTAAATAACCAAGGGGGAGGGGGAACAAGAGCAGCAGACGGAAGAAACAGAAGCCTGGGGGATCTGAATTGGCCCAGAAGAACCTGCATAACCTCAGGCTGGCACTTGCCCCCCTGTGAGACTGCTGAGGAGCAGTGCTGCAGCCTGGCACGTTGGTAAGGCCAACAGGCAGCCTCAGAGTGCCAGGCGGAGGGAGCTGGAGCTTCCTGCCTGCCCAGGGGAGGCTGGTGCTTTGGGGAAGGCTCATTTACAATCAAATAGAGGCATCCCAGATTCAGGATCAGGTGGCATTTTAAACACAAAATTGGATAAGAGTGAAAGAAATGGAAAACTGAATTTAAATTGGGAAATAATGCATTAAACATTTGTTAACTATGTCGAAGTTTTCATAATTTATTTGAAATAAATCTAAAACACAAGTGTTCACTTCTCACCCTATCACAGTCTTAAAGCCCCACAAAACCATGGAAGAATTCCAGGTCTGTGTGGAACCCAGAGACTATATATCCATGATTGAAGTTTAGCTTTGTTTTAATAGCTATTTAAATAACTAATTTTTATAGAGAATGTATCAACCATGATGCATCACGCTTGCATAACTTAAGAAAATCAAATCTATATGACAGATTTGGGAACTATAGTCCTGAACCTTGCCACTTGTCATGGCAACACAATGCTAGCAGCTAGCTGAAGGAGATATCAAACATTCTGAGATGGCTCGGGTCAAACCTGCTTTGGAATATTTAAGATGCTACTTGTGTTTGAGCCAAAACAACCTTCTAAGCACGTTAAAAGATGAAGATGATGTTTCCAAATGAGTGACTTTTATACATTTTATACTTTACATATAAATAATAAAAATAACACTTTTATTCAGAAGAGTATTCAGAACTATATTAACTGTGTACATCTTATTCTGACCAATACCATTTCACTTTCCCTGCCTAATGGATGTCAGTCTAGAGAGCAAAGGTGAACTATAAGCAATGCCATTATTTATGTTTTGGCAAATAAGGGCACTTACACTTGGATTGCAACATGTCTTGCTTCTTACATCTTTTTATATGCATAACAACTATTTTGCAAGTTTCCCTACTCACCAAACAGTAAAAAACAATGAACTTTGCTTAGCTGTACTAACTATGAAAATCTGAAACCTGAGAACATGCCACATGAGAGGAAAAGATGGCAATATTTCAACTACAGCCTTTGGGGTGACAGTTATAAAATAAATGACATCTTGAGGTTCAATAAGTATAGCTGAGACTGTATAGCTATAAACACATGATTTCCTTGAAACCCTCCTTACAAGCTATTTATGAAACACTCATCCACTTATAGCAGAGGTATCCATTGCTAAGACTGGCATAGTTGAGGATGTTTGCAATGAGCTAAGCATGACGAAATAAAAACTATAGGAACTCCTTACAACAAGTCTCCATAAACATTCACCAGTAAGTAGGCGGCCTAGATCACTGGTTCATGTGCATGAGAAGTCTTCCATCTGCCCTATTGGTTACACACCAGTTCCCTTGGGTGGAAAGCGTCTTCCTGGCGAAAGACTAGAAGGCTCACGGTCCCCTCCATCTTGGTGCTTCTCAACAGGGAAACGACTTCCTCTTGGGACTTGCCTGCTAAATCTACTCCATTGACCTAAAACAAAGAGGAAATAATTAGCTGTAACCCTGTTCAGACAGGCAGTGGAAGAAAAGCCAGATCCAGAACTGAGGGCATGTGTTACTAAATGAGTCTCTTTCCATACAAAATTTGGTCATGACCAGGTAAACAGAGAAGCTTTGGCGGCTCATAGAAGAAGCCAATCACATCGCCAGAAGTCAGTGAGGAAGTAATAAATCCTTTAGTGTTCACTCATAAACCAGAAGCTGCAACCACCAGCCTTAACAGACAGCAACCATGAGGTCCAGGCAATATGAAGCTGCTATGAGAATTGAGCTCTTGCAAGGCCTTGTGTATAACAGGTTTTCCAAGAGCCAAACAAAGAGGCGCTGCTCTTGGAAGAAGAATACAGCACCAATATTTTAATATAAGTACTTTAAGTTTCAGTGAAAATGAAGAATAAATATTTTATCCTTGAAAGGTAAACACTAAACACCAAAAAGATTCACTAAACAATAATAATATTTTAAGAGGGAAGGATGCTTCATCTTAGTTCTTCTCAATGATTAAAAGAATTCAGTCAGGCAGAGTTTTGGAAGAATACATTTTTAAGGAATCTTATCATTTTTCATTCATGAGAATTATAATGATAGGTTCAAGGAAAGACGTTATTTTTATTATTTATTTATTTTTAAGATTTATGGTTTGGCTATGTATATAACACAGATTGAAGTTACTACATAGTTGGGGAAGCCTTGACTCACAGCCCCACTGCCTGGGACTCCCAAGTGCCAGGGTTGCATGTATGCATCATCACAAAGTAACAAGTTTCATTTTAAAAAAAATATATTGTTCTCTCTATATGAGTCAAATATTATAAGACAAATAAGTATATTATTTAAATTTTAATATTAAGATTCCCCTGTAGTTAAGGTATGCTTTAGAACCTAGTCTTTTTCTTGAAATGCTCTTCACAGAGCTTCATATGCTCTAATTCAGGGATGCTAGCAAACTGACAACACTTAAAACCAATGAAAAGTTTGCAGACAGTAAGGGGAAGGCACTAATAGTGTGAAACTTTTCCTGTTTATTATTCATTGTATGGCCCAGATGTTAAGGAAGCCTGTGCACTGACTTGTACATAGTCTATGGACACTGCCACAGTGGGTTTTAAACACACAAGACAAGTTTCAGAACTGAGACACACCTGGCAGGTATAAGCACTAAACCTGACTCAGAGCAAGGCACGCTACAGTGTGCTACCACCTCTCAGAGAAAAGAATGAAGTTGTTTGTGATTCACTAAAAGTAAAGCTATTACTGACTAAACAGGTGTAGAGACAGTGATTACCTTCAGGAAGGAGGGAAGGAAGGACGGCAGCAGAAAAGTAGGTGATAGAGAGGAACAAGGAGGCAGACACACAAGCAAAGACAGATGAGCCCTGCACGGAAGGCCCTAAGTTCATCCCAAGCTCAAGGCCCTAAGTTCATCCCAAGCTCAGACACAGAAACAGAGAGTGGGGCAGAGACAGAAACACAGCCAGAAAAGGAGGAGTAAAGAAAAAGCAAATGGAAAGACAAACTTTTCTCTTTTTGAACTTGGAAGCCAACTGAGACTTACAAAATAAAAGAAGCCATAACTACAAGCTTGCCCACAGCTGCTCAGTTTATATCTGAAAGAGAACAGAATTTTCGAGAAACAGTCCCCTTTATACAAGTTGGGGATGAGTCCTTCTGGTTAATAGAGTAACTCAGTGTCATCTGAAACATGTCACCATTTGTGGAGAGCAAAAGGGAATGGCATGAGATTTCAGGGATAATTCTAAAATGAAGACATGAAAACAAGGAAGCGGTTTCTCAGCTCTGCTACTCCTCAAGAAGCCCTTGAGAAAGCTCAGCCCAGAGGGGATCAAAGCTACATGGGAGAGGGCATGTTTATCCATATTTGAAGAATAGATAATGAAGCATGATTTCTGCTAAGAAGAAGGGACAATGAAGGACCAGATGGTGGCCCAAGAGTGGGGGCAGTGGTTTAGAGTGCAAACATGGCTCAGTGATGAGGGGCATGGCACATCAATGGGCGTGGCTCAGTGAAGAGACCCTGGATCAGTGGGAAACTCTTGCCTGGAATTCCCCAGTGAGGGCACTTAGGTGTGGCTCAGTTTCTGGATTGCGGCTCAGCACTCAGAGGCACAGCTCAATGGAGAAGCAATTGCCTAGGATTCATATGGACTTGGGCTTCATCTTTAATACCAGTAAAAAATAAATGAGTAAAAACTAAAATGCAGATTTGTTTTTTTAGAAGACAACACTTAGAAAAATAGGTGTGAAGTTGTGACTGAGTTGGTCCCTCAGTTTTTCATATGCACACAGCTTCTGAGCTTCTGTCTGGGTGTGCTTTTCCACAATGACCTCAGATACCAGGGACATTAAACCCTAAGCATCAAAATGAAATTTCTAAAGTCTATTTTTCTTTCTGTTAAAATTGGATGTTGGTTCATGATCCAGATGGTCATACTAACCCTTTTACCTTCCTTTTGAGACACGTTCACATTTACTTTATCTGCCTTGGTTCTGGTATCTAAGTAGTTGACTTGCCTATGCTGTCACACATTGAATATTAAGCTGTCTAAATTCATAGTCACAGAGTTATGCACATGCATAATGTTAAAAGATGGTCTGACCTCATAAACCAAATATGTATATAGCTAAATATTTATAAATAATCTAGACAGAAAGGTAATTTCTCATCAGATAACATGTATAAATATAAAGTAAAACATAGCTTTTTGATACAACATTTCTGCTAAGATAGAGAATTTCATGTTTTACAAAAACAATTTCAAACTAACCCCCGAGGGAAGGAATTTTTCAGGGAAGTCAGGAGTCTTTGCCTAGAAGTCACTCACCTCTATGAGGCGGTCTCCTGCCTTGAGTCTGCCATCCTGAATGGCGGCCCCTCGAGGAAGAATGTTCTTGACATAAATCGGAGCTGAGCCACCTATAGTAACATCTCGGGAAGTGATGCTGAACCCAAGTCCTTCTGTACCTAAGTCAGAAATAGAAACACCTGTAAGTGCTGCCACGTATTGTGAACTGTGCATGTGTGCCACACACACGGGACTGGCTAATATTTGGTGTCAGCTTTACATTTTATTATATCCAGTGGCCTACATTTCTTTTAATGCTTTAAAAGTTGCAATAAAGTTTTCAAACTAGACTAAGTTTGGAAGACTTAAATCGTTTAGCTCTAGAGATCATCAATCTTTTTTGGTGGTCTTATCAACAAGGACAGGTGCAAATTGATGAACTCATATGTCAACTTTAAGTCTTTGGATACCAAATGGACCTGAGAGCTCTACTTGAAGAAATTATGAATAAACAATTCTGAAAATATCTATAAAACCTCTGGGGTCTAGAGAGATTGCTCAATGGTTAAGAAAACTTGCTGTCCTTGAAAAATACTTAGGTTTGATTTCCAACACCAACATGGTGGCTTATAACCACTCTAGTTTCAGAGGATCCAACACCCTCTTCTGGCCTCCAGGCACAGCACTCATGTGGTATGCAGACATACATGTAGCCAAAACACCTAACACACATAAAATAAATTGTAAGAACCTCCATGAAACTTAAAAACATCAAGTATTAGCAATAATGGTCCCCAGACCTAGAGCACAAGGCAAGAGAAATGGAGAAGAAAATGTTCTGGGAGGGGACAGTGAAACCAGTGGTGTTTTCAGTAGCCAACCCTCCACAGATTCTGAGAACAGCAATGCATACATGAACTATATTGATTATCCTTGTCAAATTTTCTTCCAAGTAACCGAAATCCTCCCATGTGTGATCCCATATCCCGCCACAGGACAGACCACTTCATGGAAGAGTCCAGCTGGAAATCAGGGCTACTGAACCCTAGGGTCACCCTATCGTGTTTAAAGGTACCAAGATTACTGGGATATCAGTAAGTCAATTTCTTGATTTACCTAATTCTTAGCAAATCATCTTCTTAGATCAGGATGTTTGGAAAGGAGTTACACCACATTAGAACCTCAAAGTAATGAACAAAAATACGCCAAGGAGCAGTGTGAAGAGCCTGACAAATTTCTGAGTCATAGAATTTTATAACACTTCTAATGAGCAATTTTTTATTTGAGCGCATTTATTTCTCATGCTGCATTTCTGTTAACGAGATGGCAAATGCATGGTCATTGTGAGAAGGATATAGAGATGCACAAGGTGCACAGCTGATGAGTATCTTAGCACCATACGAGGCTCTCATAAACATGAATCAAAAAGTGTAACACATGAAAAAACTAAGACAGTTAGGTAAAATATTAGTTGAACAAAAAAGGAGCAGAAATGAATGCTCAGTAATTCCAGACACCAAAAGTGCCATAAATACTCTCAAGTTCAAACAAAACATGCATCTATACCCAACAGGAAGCCACTTCCAGACTGACTGTTAGTTTTTGCTGCTGTCTGTGCTCAAGCCTTGACTGGCAGGCTGTCTATATGAATTTTAATAATTATTCTTCTGAGGCTGTCCCATATGTCTCTGTGCCTTCATGAAACTCTAATGACTTGCAATAACATCTATTAAGAAAGAATCCTAAATTATTCTCCTTTGCAATATTAATTTGTACAAACTACAAAGATGGACTATTATATAACCACAATTCTATTAAAAATATCAGCAATAACCCCTAAATCTATAAGCCAGAAGTTCAGGCAATGACCTTTAAGGGAAAGATAATAGACGTCAATTTTCATTTGGTGAGGCCAACAAAATATTTTGCTCTGATTGAAACAGATTACTGACCTTCTCCTCTGACTTTATTAAAAAGCTAATTTTTACAAAAGAGCAGGGGATTTGAGAATGCCAGAGTGGTAATAAATATAAGAAATCATAATTATTGAAGCAAGCGAGTTGGGGCTTTTAGTTCCATAGGATCATGTGACCGAGTTCCAAAATTATTTCTAGGAGTTATTATCCTAGAGGCTTCTTTTTTAGTACCAACTATTGTCTTGAGCTTGTAAATTAATGCCACTTAGAGCACAACAGTTTACCTTGAGATGAACATATGTTTAACATGATCACACTATGTCTATAATGGACTTCTTAAAAAGAAAAACCTCCAACATTACAAGAACTGGTAAAAAGATTATCTTACAGCTACAAGGAAATAAAAAATTCTCATGCAATCATTATTATCATATCTGTATTCAGTCCTAATCAAACACAATCAACATTCTTGTCCTTCTTAAGTATAGTCAACACAGTTTATTTATGTAAAACATCTGTAGGCACTGCTGTAGAGGCAGCAGGTGCTTTTGTTGGATATTCTCACTGCTAGTTAACTGAAGTCAATATAAATCTAAGGGACTCCATGTCATTTGGAGTACCAAAAGTTAGAGAAATATTTCAAAGAAAACCACCACCTCTAATTTTCTTTCACGGATGAAGATTAGACTTCCTGAATTACGTAAGAAAACAGAATTCTACATTTCTAAATAATACTAAAGCAAACCTACTAGTTTCTGTATTCAAAACTAGTGGTTCTTTTAATAACAAGTGACACTTCATGAAAAAGTTCATATTACATCATAATTTGTCATGTCTATTACTTATGCAAAGCTGCAGTTAATTAAGTGAATGTTCTTCCCCCAGGCAAAGAGAAGAAGAATATTATAAATAACAGTTTATGAAGTAACATTAGTAGAACACTGGTCAAGTAAAACACTGTGTCTTTGTAAAAGGGACCTGAGTTGGATTGTTATTCTTCGTACACCACTAATTGTGGTGTTTGACATGTTTTTGGTAAGAAACCAAAACCTGTCACTTGAGTGGAGAAAGAAGAATGGGAATTGGATCTTCCCCTTACTGAGAACAGATAGGAAACAGAGGGCTTCCCATACAGCTTGCAAAGTGTAGAAACACACTGTCAAGTCTTGCTTATGCCAATCAAGTTATTGTAGTTTAAAAGCCAATAATCAGAAGATGTGGTTCACATAAAGTTCAATGAAAGAAACTAGCAGGCGCAGGCCCACAGCCTTATAAGAGCTACCTCGATGGCAAGCAGAGCAATGAATGCCATGATATGAAAGACCCTCTGCAAGGGTTTACTGTCCACAGTTGCTGGACACAGGTACATCATTCTGGATGGCTCTCCAGCCACTGTTGTAGCTGACTGGACTCAGAAAGGTATTTTTTTAAAATAAAGCCATAATTTTTAAAGGCATGCATTTCAAAAACGTAGTTAAAGGAATACAAAGAAGGGAAAGAGCATCTCGTCCTTGACAGACCATTGACTATCTAGAGGTCAAGTGTGGCCATCAATCTGCATAGAGGAGGAGACCAACCACAAGTGTGTTCTGCAAGAGGGTACATAAATACATCAGCAAGGATGGAGAAGACTTAGTAGTACCCTTGAAGGTGCTCAAGGAAAAGAAGTTATATACTGGAGAAGGAAAAGCAAACACAACTCTGGACTTCTTAGCAACTGTGACTCAAACAGCCTCAAAAATGGGTGCCCCCTTCCCATGACATGTGAAGGCTATAGAGACCTACAATTTCCTACTTTAGGGAGTGGTTGCCAATCAAGACAGGCAGACCTCTAGACTGTTCTAGATGTTAAAAGAAAACCTGTAACTCACTTTCAGTATTAAAAAAAAATCCTAACCTAGGAATAACACATGTACTATAATGTATTCTGAACTTTTACATTTTAATTTTATTTCTTCTGCACTTGTGTGTACATGTGTGTGCAAGTGCATATGTACCCGTACAAAGTGTGTGTGCAGGCCAGAGGCTGCTTTGAAGTGTCTTCCTCAGTTGGTTTCATACTGAACCTGGAGCTTGTCAATTTGTCTAGACTGGGGCTGGTCATAAAGATAGCCACCCAGCTCCACAGCCAACATGCCTAGCTTTTCTGTGTATGCTGGAAATCTGAATACATGTCCTTGTGCATATGTAGTAAGCGCTTTACCACCAAATCCCTTCATTTTAATTATGACAGGGTACAGACAAGGATGGGGCAAAGCAAACAAAGAACCCCAAGTTTTATTCTGAGCACTGAAACACTTAATAGACAAAGACAACAAAAGAGCACACCTTCCCCACCTTAGAATTCAAGGAACTCTCTTTGGCTTGTAGCTTATCTTAAAAGAAGCCCCATCTGACAGTGAGGACAGCCTACCTTTCTTAAGCTGGATGTTGAGCCTCTTGCCTACTTTCTTAGTGTTGTACACACTGCCCATATTGGTGCTAAGCACATTCTGTGGAACCACAGGTGGGGCTGCGGGTGGTTTAGTGGAGGCATGAGCACTATGAGGTAGTCGGGGGTGAGCATCCAGCTGCTCAGGCGGATGATTCAGTCTGGGTGCTCTGGGCAATGCTTGAGGCACATGGCTGGCCACATTCCTGTTGTCCACACAGTGGCTGTCAGGGCTGAAGCGGTTAGGGGAATAGTTGTTCTTCTCTCGCTGGGAGAGTTGTTCATACTGCTCCTTGTTTGCTGCAGGGACCACGTGGAACCAAATGACACGTGTGCGCATGGCTTGGCGGAACATATGCTGTGCTCTGGATTTGACAGAGAATGGAAGGTTAGCAAATGAAGGCTAGCAGAGCAGAAGATAACATGAGTTTGATTGAGTATGCTAATTAAGCAACACGACCAACAGACTGTTGGAACCACTTATGAACCACATTTGTAAGGTCTGATAAAAGCAGAACAGTTTCCCCAAATATAAATTTCTCATTCTGTAAATAAAAATGCTAAACCTATCTATGACTGTAGAAAAAAATACAGTGCCCTCCACTGTAAATCATCAATAATGATTACGTGCTAACACATTTATTCTAGTTTAATACTGACAGAAAATATACCTAGGTTTTTTTTTTCTCCCAAGTGTGTCCAACCTTCAGTCCTTCAGCTTCAAACATTCAGTTATGAATGCATGAATGCATTTCAACACATTTGTAGATGGCAAGGACATATCAAAAGGTTGGATATAACTGCACAGAATTATGCCATGAAACTACTAAGGACATAAAGTGTTTTCTTATTAAGGAACCATAGAATTTTTAAAGAAATACTCTATATAGAAATATAGGAGGCAACTAACCATTCATCACTTATCATCAAAATTGGTTCAAGTTTGTTGCAAAAATCTCACAAACACTAAATTCCTTTGAACAGAACCTAATGATGTATCCACTACCAACTACCAAGTCTGAATCCTACCTGTTGTGGAGCCCTAAGGCACACTGTAAGGCAGATACCACTCATGCTGGTCCCCAGGGCTCACATCTAAGTAAGAATGCGGTCACACCTACCCATATTTAAAAGGTTTATATTGCTGTTGTTATTTTTAATTTAGTAAGGGTCAGGATAAAGAACACATGAGAAAGACACAGTGTTGTGATTCAGAGGAGCCTTCCTCCTTATTTACACTGTGAAAGACAAAGCTGGAAATATGAGTTCAAGTGGGCCCAGGGCCAACTGCCTGAAAGCAGAGAAACCAGAAGTACCGTAATACTAAAATCAGGACCAGAACAGCTCAACTGGCTAGAGGTGGCTCTAAAATATAGACTGACAGGAGTTTGATTAAATTCTACATTAAAAAACTAGATGACTGCATAAAACTGTCTTCTGTGGTACAGTATACAATAATGTGTCAAAGCACCTGAGCCAAAGGTACCCCATCATGCCACAAGGGAAGAGAACCCCATTACCACCAGGAGAGAGGACCCCATTGCCACCAGGGGAGAGGACCCCACTGCCACCCGGGGAGAGGACCCCATTGCCACCAGGGGAGAGGACCCCACTGCCACCCGGGGAGAGGACTCATTGCCACCAGGGGAGAGGACCCCAAAGCCCCCAAGGGAGAGGACCCCACTGCTACCAGGGAAGAGGACCCCACTGCCACTAGGGGAGAGGACTCATTGCCACCAGCACACTTACTGCTCAAATCTTCTGTTTCGAAGATCTCCATCATTAATCCTCACAATGCAGTCATTCTCATGGAAAAGATTTTCTTGCTCGGCTTTCCCACCTTTCTCCAACCGTTTGACTAACAATCCCAGTGTTCTGGAACATCAAGAATGTGAACAATTACAGGGGTAACACTCCCTCCATGTGCTTTAGCTCTATGGTACAAGTTCACACACTTCCTTAAAAGCAGATGGACTAGGGCACTACTGATACATTTTCAGGAACTCCCAAAGGTCTAAATTATGTGTAGAAATTGACCCTTTCAATCAATATCAGAAACCATTTTCTGACTTGCCATTATTAGCCTTCTGAACCTAAGTGCATACTAAGTCAGCAGAGCCTGCTGAGGTGGGTGTCACAGTACAGTCTGAACAGGGACTGTCTTATGGATGGTTTGGCAGCCTTTTGCTTCAGTCCTGTGGGCATGCTGCTGCAAGCAGCCACTGATTCTTTCACAACACACACAGATCATGAGGAATGCCTATCCTCCCTGTGCTTTACATTCAAAGGTAAGAGCAAAGTCTTCAGAGAGAGTCAGAGAGAGAAGAGAGCTTCGCTGGCACGTGGATTGTGAATTCAGCAACAGTCTGATATAATTGAACTTTCAAAACCTGGCGAGTGTCTTCCTTAAGCGAGAGATCTGCTGCCATACTCCTGGGTGAAGAAAACCGGGAGCAGGAAAGCAGATCAAAGAACTTAACGCTTCTCTTATCTGCATCAACACTCAAACTTTAAGATAGGGCATGGCATGAGCTTTGCGGAGAAGGTGGCAAAGGAAAAAGACAAAATTATTAATATCTTTTGTAGTGGTTTGAATGAAAATGCCCCTAAAGGGTCCGGCAGCTAACACAGTCTCTGAAGGTTGGTGCACTTAGGTGATGCGATGGAACTTTTAGATGTTACAGCTTTGCTAGAGAAAGACACTGCTGGTGGCAGGCGTTGAGAGTCCATAGCCTTGTCCTATTCCAGTTCATAAACTCTGCTCTGCGTTGGAGGCTGAAAATGTGATCTCTCAACTTCTTGCTCCTGTGGCCATGACTCCGACCATGATGGACTCTTGCCCGTGGAACCATAAACTAAAAGAAGCTCCTTTCTTACCATGAGTCACTTTTGGTAATAGTTTCTTATCACAGCAATGGGAAAGAAATTCAGCAGTTGATACCAGAGAGCGGGTTGTGGCCTAAAAGAGCCTGAGCGTGCTGACTTTAGGGAACAGGGAAGACCAGAATTTTGGAACGGAAAAGCAGCTGAAGGCTATAAGTGGAGATTGCAGGGCCATCCTAGACTGCACCCAGGGAGGCATCCAATTTGTAAAAGAGAGTTCCAGGGCCCTTCTAGATAGTAATTCCAAGATAATGATCGGAAGCAAAAATAATTTGAAGTTCCCTGTTTTATATCTGGTCTTTCTATGATGCTTGTGTGTGTGTGTGTGTGTGTGTGTGTGTGTGTGTGTGTACTGGGTAAGCCCTCTACCACTGAGCTTAGTCATTAAAAAATTACTGAAGACTGTCTTTCTAAATTGTCCTTCTCTGTGGTTAAATGCAGTAGTAATATTAATGTAAAAAAATTATTACAAATTGCTGGGTATGGTAGCACATTCCTTTAATCCCAGCATACAGGAGGCAGAGGTGGGAGAATCTTTATGAGTTCTACTCCAGTCTGATCTATACAAAAAACAAGTTCTGGGACAACCAGGGCTATTACAAATGACTGACCATAGTGAAAGGCAGGACAAAGGAAGTATACTCCCAGGTAATGGTACTGCCAGATAATTGGGAGGGGTACTACAGCAGACACAGTGAAACATGGTACCAGGAAATCAGGAACATCCTGCACTAAGGTGATGTGACTGGCTTATTCACAATGCTGGAATCACTATCTCCAAGGAATGAACTAACTGATGGAGAGGTCAAGTGTTACAATCAGCAACATTTCTCATTGGCTTCATAGAATGAAGATAAACAGAAAATGAATGAACAACAACAACAACAACAACAAAAAAAAAACCCTCCCAAGAAAATGTCCACAGTTGCAGGAGAATGGAAAGAGCTCTGATGGGCAATCCAATGGAAACAACGTGTCAGGCACCCTCATTTTCCTGGAAGCAGTTGGGTGACAGACAAAACCCGTTTGCACACCTGCTACTTTGCACGCCTGCTACCTCTGACCCCACGTGGTCTCAAAGCTGCAGTGAAAAGGGAAGTACACAGTGGCGAGCTCTTTCTCTCTCTCTCTCTCTCTCTCTCTCTCTCTCTCTCTCTCTCTCTCTCTCTCTCTCTCTCTCTCTCTCTCTCTCTCTCTCTCTCTCTCTCTCTCTCCTTTACATGGTTTCACTGTGTCCTTGAACACACAGAGACCTGCCTGACTCTGCCTCCCAGTCTCTGGGTTGAAAGACGCACATCACTATGCTTTTCCAGATGTATGTCTCATAAACTGAACTCATCAGCTAGAACTTGTTTGGAGCAACTTGAAAATAGAAGACCTATGTTGCTATATTGGAGAATTACAGAAGGTAAGTAGGTCCCAGGGCCTATGGACTATCAAGGTACAGGATATGCTTTCCTTCTTGGGAGCCATTGCCAGAGTTCATCAGGGGCAACCATGACCAATTGGAAGAGCTGGGGGGGGGGGAATAAAGCTAGCTCAGAGCAGCCCATGCTTCCTGCACTGAGCCATGAGGTTGAGAAGAGACCCAGGGCATTATGAATGGAGCTGGGGAGATTTATGAAGAAATGACTGCAGGATGGGTAACGTGGAAACAGGCCTACTCCAACTCCACCTCCCACGTGAACTTCAGGCAGAACTTACATCAGTCACAGGCTTGCCAAAGAAATGTGACTTTCTTTTCTTGTTAGACTGGAGTATTTTTCAAACCTACTCTTCTTCCACTGTTTACTATAATGCTTTTTTTCCTTCTTATTTTAGAGGAAGGAAGGGAGGAAGAGCAGGAGGAAGGGAGAGGAGGACGGAGAGAGGGAGGTCCTATGCCTACTAGGTACAAATCTCAATTCTGAATAATTTATTTAAAAAAAACAAAAATAGGCAGTTACACCTCCCTTTCTCTCTCTCTCTCTCTCTCTCTCTCTCTCTCTCTCTCTCTCTCTGTCTCTGTCTCTGTCTCTCTCTCTGTCTCTCTCTCTCTCTCTCCCTCCCTCCCTCCTTCCCTCACAGTTGCTGAACAGTCTCTCTCGGGAACAGGAGGGGAGAGATCTCAGAGAGCAAGCTGCTGGATGCTGTGTGTGATTTTGGTTACATAATTAGAAATTTAACTGCTCAGATTATATTAAGGATTCACCACTACATTTTTACAAGGTTCATTAGCCTAATTATACACTTAATTCAAACAAACTCAGTTGCACATGTTAACATTTTAATTCTAAGTATAAATTATAACCAATGATAGAACTGAAAATAAGTAACAAATGTTTTATTGACATTTAAATTGGCTGAGTTAGTGTGAGTTTTGCTTTGATAATCTCCGCTCCCACAACTGCCATCCGGCTCTATGGGAGTGATCACGGTTTACCCTAATGATAAACGCTGACACAGTACAAACATGACAGTGAAGGCAGGGTATGAATAGGATTGCTGGCAAAAAGACCTTGCCAGCCCCCTCAAGGGTTACAAGTGGGAACTGACAATTCTACACGACTTAGAACCATGGCCTTGGCCACGGCCACAGTGAACAGCCACAGAAAGTTTGAACTTTATAGGCATTTCAGTTAAAATAACAATCCTGGTAAAGAATAGATCATGTTCAACATACAAGTATAAAAATGATTTTATGTAACACAATAACACAAAGAATGTTTACAACAAAAAAGCTTTAATTAAAAAGGAATCCTTGTAAAGAATCCAGTAGAGGGTTTGCCAGCATCTGTGAAGCCGGATGCCCGGCACGACCACAAAGTACATGAACTGGACCAAAAGGCAGATAAAGATGGGGAGTTTCTTTAATTCAAAGCAGGAATTACACATTATTCTACCGCATCTACTAAAACACAAGTTTTCTAAAGCTATTAAAAAGGACAGACCCAGGTTCAACCCAGGTTTCTGAGAGAGTTCCTCACAATGGCAGGCCCCATGTAGGCTACAAACCATGCTTTGCCCACAGGAGGATGTCAGATTGCTGGAGCTGGAGTGACAGGACAGCTGTCACAGGTGCTGAGAACTGAGTACCGGTCTCTGCAAAGGGAGCAAGTGCTCTTAAGCACCAAACTCTCTCTCCATGAAATTACGTAAGAGAATAATTGCTGTGGCATTTTATTTATGTGTGTGTATACCTATATGCACATGCTGCAGTGCAGTTATAGAGGTCAGAGGACAACACTGTAGAGTCAGGTCTCTTTCCAACATGCGGAACCCAGCAATGGAACTCAGCTTCCAGGTTAGCAGTAGGCAACTTTCCTCACAGAGCCATACTGTTAGCTCCTGGTTATAATTCATTAACGAATGCTTTCAGACCACATTGTAAACAGCTGCTTCTATGGTATAAGTTTGATTTGTGACGTCCACATCTCTCTTAGTGGGATTTCTAGATTCTGTCTTTAGAAACTAATTCAAGGCCTTACATCTTAATAAATAAAAACAAATAATAACAGAAAACCTCCTTGAATAAAATTGACAATCATCTAATTAAAAGTTGCATAAGAAAATATAGGACGAAAGAAAATGTTTAGCAATAAAAGAAGAAAGACCATTGAAAGCAGGCTGTGCTATGCTATGGGCATGTGTTAGGCACACTGGGAAAGATTCAGAACCTGTACTACAGAGGTTGACTTTGGAGCCAGGTAAACCTTTGCAGCATCCTCTTTATATACACCATGACTCCAACTAGCAAAGCACATTTGTGTTAGCATCTTCTGTTGGAATGCCCTCCAAGAATTGCTACCGTTCTAGAATAACATCTCTAAGACAGATCCCTTATTTCCTTCAAAGAATGGATCAAGCATATGGTGCTTCCCAAGTGCTTTCACAGCAGCCAACATCCAATATTCTCAGTCATTTATATCCCTGCAACATGTGGATGGCATCTCTTAATATACATGTTTTTTCTCAGGTCCATTAAAGCAAATATACAGTCTGGCCCCTAGTTTGGTAAATGATTTTGTATCTTGTTTTGTATTGACCTAAAGTTATACTGTAGTCATATTTCTGTATCATTGGAAAATTTCAGAAAAAAAATGTCAAATAATGCCATGGTCAGAATATGTCGCTACTCTTTTATTTTGTTTTTATTTTTCACAGTTTCTTATCATGAAGCCCAGGCAGGCCTAGACCTTAAAATCCTCCTCCTACTGCCCCCCCCCCCCAGTTGGCCTGCAATTTTATTTACCAAGTGCATTGAACAAATGGACCTGGATGATTCTTGGAAGTAAAAAGCACACATAAAATATCCTAATTTCACCAAATGATGCATAGTTATTTGTTATGAATGTTTTGAAAGTATTTGCGTTTGTGACTTAAAGTGGTTTGTGTTGTGACAGAGAAATGAAACAACAGAAGTAAAGAGAAAGTGTTTCAAAATGATCAACCCAGATAAGGAGTTCTGGGTGGAATCAGCTCACCATTTTTGTGAAACATCTACAGAGACTTGAGCAACTCAGCATCATAGAGAAGATAATCCTGTGGACTTTCCTATTGTCACTGTGTCTAGTCTAGAGTCAGTCATCCAAGGCAGAATTGGGAGGTGAGCCATCCTTGACACTGCCAATGAAGGCACAATGTTCAACTTACTAGAGAAAATAACCTTCCAAAGGAGCAGTTCTGGAAAGGTCAGAAATGAAGCTGCCACATGCAAGTGGCTATAAACCTCTCTCCCACCCAACCTCACAAATTTAAATTACTGTTCTCCTTCGATACATAAGACAACTGAAACAGTCAAGGGATGTCCCTTCTCCTTGTATAATTCTCATTCCTAATCAGATTTGAAATTCTAAACAAGAAAGCAGAGATTATATATACTTATCATTTCTATAAAATAAATATTCTGAGGAAATTATTCAATGAGGTTATGTCTCTTAGTTTGAGACAGCTCAAGACTGAGTAAATTTTCATGCTAACGATTCTTGGAGATTTCAATGTGCATATTTATGCTGCCGTGTTCCCAATAAAGAACATGTAGTTTCCTCATGAGCTCTACCTCACATATCCATTTCTACTCTATTGCTTTGCTCAGTCAGCCTGAGATCCCAGCTCTCTTTATGAGCAGCCAACACATTTAAAATCATCCTTCACCATCAGTCAGCCTCAGTTTTCAAATTCAGATACTCCTTTTCTTCCAGCTCACAGCAAGTTATCACATAATTATAATGCTGTGATTTCCTAGCTATCATTCACCTATATTCAAATCCTAGTTCACCTTATTTTCTGATGTCCACTTTCCTTACCGTAGAAAATGTTTTCTCAGGATTTGTGATGGCAAAATATAGTGCTCAGTTCATCTTTGTTTCCTGGCACCCACCATCCTCATCACAAGGTGAGGACTCTTCAGGATTTCTGACAGAACAGAAAGGACCATTCCAAAGTGTTTCTGGAGACTCTAGTCTTCTGGAGATGGGGACTTTGAGTCTAAGCAGCAACATGCATCTCTGTCAATGTCCACCCACTTCAAAGAGCTGGAAGCATCAAATTCATGTAGAAGATTGTAGACCCAGTGTCCTGGATCGTTTTATGTCAACTTGACACAGGCTACAGTCATCAGAGATGAAAGAGCCTCAATTAAGAAAATGTCTCTATAAGATCTAGCTGTACGTCATTTTCTCAATTAGTGATCAATTCAAAAGGGCCCAGCCCATTGTGGATGGTCCCATTCCTGGGCTAGAGTTCCTGGGTTCTACAAAAGAGCAAGCCATGAAGAACAAGCCAGCAAGCAGCACCCCTCCATGGCCTCTGCATCAGCTCCTGCCTCCAAGTTCCTACCCTGCTTGCATTCGTATCCTGACTTCTGTAGGTGATCAACAATAATGTGAAAGTATAAAGGGAATAATTTTTTTCTTTCCCAACTTGCATTTTGGTCATAGAATAGAAACTCTAACTAAGACACCCAGCAGACAAATTGAGTGAGAATTAAGTACTTCTACTCTGTTACCACGGGAAAACTGGTGATGACCAGAAAGGATTTATGAAGGCTCTGCTTTTCCTAGATCAAAGTCTTTATTCTTCATACAGGAAAGCTGTATACAATTTTCCTCATTAACAGTCAAATTACAAGGAATTAAAAATCACTCAGCTCTAGAGTTGCTAGTTCTGCAGAAGAATTTGTTTGTTTACTTGAATGGGTTTTGTGCATCCAAACTCAACACCATGGTAACCACCAACTGTGATAGGCTTTGCAATATTTTTCTGAATTCACCCTACTGGCAGGTTTATTTCTGTTTTCTCCTTTTGCTTTAGGCTTGTCATCTGTTCATTTTTTTCCTAACGTCATTTCACAGTGAGGTAGGAAATGTGTAAAACAAGAGAGAAAGTAACATGTTTGCAATAAAATTACTGGTTCAAAGTCGGCACATACACAATAATCTTATTTGTGATGAATTACGGTTCACAAGAAGTTTCAGATACATTGGTAGTAGGAAGCTATGATCCATGCACTCTAACTTTAAGTTTCTTTTGAGATAATTCTAAATAGCTTCAAAAGAAAATAAAGCTGTTACATTTGATAAAAAATATTTAACTGAAATATTTTTAAAGATATTTTAATGTTTTGCTAGAGTTTAAAGTGAAAGTAAAAGAGGGGAAAAAAGGAATGAATAAAAACACCACTCCAAAATTCAAGGTGAATTTTGTACTGAGCTACAAAATATTGTATTCGTGGTACTTCAAAGAAATTTTAAAAAGTTCAATTTTTAGCTGCAATTCAATTCACAAACTGTATTTTAAGCAAAGGAACAGTATAAATCTGGACTTGCAGTCACCATAATTAATGAGAAAGCAGTACACCTACTCAAAGAAAGACTAGTATAGCCCATGTTTGGCTATGTGCTAATTCATACTCAACTTCCTGGACACAAAGGGCAATAGTTTTAGCACATGTGGCTGGATCCCAGTACTGACCTGGTATCTCACTGTTGCACATGCAGAGACTCAGACTCTAGCCTCCATTCACAATGTCCGTTCTGGGGTTTCCTCACTGATGTATGTTCTCAGCTGTGGCCCTGTGCTCGTAGTCATATGTCTACATGGTCAAATGTGGCTTTCTTGTCTATTTTCCAGGTTTTCTTTCACTGGCCTAGGTTTTAGTCACCAGTTAGGCTCCTTTGGCCAGTTCTAACTTCTTGTCACACCTCTGTGTTTCTGGTCACTGGGGTAAGCTCCTAGTTCCTCAGTTCTCTGATACTAGTATATGGCTACTTGCCAATCTTGATTCCCACCCACTTCCCCAACAAAGTCTAAATATTTTATAAAAGAATAAAGTAAAAAAATAAAATAAAAGGACTAAGGAGGTCAAAAACAAGGCATAAACATGTTTCACCAGGTAATCACAAAGTGAACAAAAAGAGGGGAAGTCACATTTGCACAGGGCTGACACCCATGATGGATAGGGAACACCCCACTTGGCCAAGGCACCTACCCAATAAGTAAGCATTGACACCAAAATTAGCCAACACTATTGGAATAGAGCAAAGCATCCAAAGCAATGCTTACTCCATAGTTTCAGGGGAGAACCATGAAAACTCATTTGACATTTGTTAACTTTAAGGAATCATATTCTTCACAGTAATGAGGTTGAAAATAACAATGTAACATCTGGTGAGGTGAGCATTTAGAGACTAAAGTCAGCTTGGCCAACTTTCTAAGGAATTTTCCAAAACAAAAACAAAAACAAAAACAAAAACAAAAAAGCAACAGTTCCTTACCTAGTTGTAGGAAGTGAGCTAACAAATACAAACTTAAAACAAATTCCCATGTAATATATACAGGTGATTTTTTTGTTTTTGTTTTTGTTCTTGTTTTTCCAGATACACTTTCTCTATAACTTTTGAGTCTGTCTTGGAACTCACTCTATAGACCAGACTGGCCTCAAACTCACAGAGATCTGCCTGCCTCTGCCTCCAAGTAATTTTTATTCTATGATTTCTCTTTCAGGTAATTGCTATAGGTCTCCCAGGGTTTGGAAATCCCAGCAGAGTTGTCAGCTTGTGACAGAGTCCAGGAAGCAGTAGGATGTGCTAATGGTGAGTTCATTAAAATAATCTGAACATAGGAATCCTTCCTGTGCACAGAAATGTCATTGATCAGGCTGTGTGTTCTCTATAGACATTTAAGGAAGCAATAGCTGACCCCATTGAAAACTTTTCCATTATGCATGTGCGAAGTCAATACAAAAAACAGTAGACATTATGATGAATTAAAAACCTGCAAGATACATTACCTGCCGCCTCGAGCACTGAAAGGCACTACATGGATTCCCAGAGGCCCTCCATCGTTGGGGACTTGTACGAGCTTTACCATATCACTGTGAGACAATGATGAATGAGGGAGCATGAACATGGACTGTCAACAAACCAAAACAGAAACAAAACAAAACAAAACAAAAACTGCCAAAACACAGACGCACACAACAAAAGAGAACCAAACAAAAATCCCACCAGGCGACAGGCATACACATATACACTAAAGAACGCAGGCGTGAAGATGGCGACAGCACTGAAGGGCACCTACCTGAATGCTAGTCTGATGGCATGGAGGGAGCAATCATTAGAGATAGTAGCATTAAAAAGGGCACAGAAGTGGTCCCCTTGGACCATTGTCTTCTGAGCAATATGACTTCATGCTTTGGAGATCTAGACTTCATGAACACTCTCCAACCAAACATCTAACTTGAGAAGTCTAAGGTTAGCTAAATATAGCCATTGTGGATTCGTAGTACATGACAAGTTGCAAGGCTCTCCAATTCATGTCACTTCATTCATTCTCCCAATAATCCAATAAGGTCAGTTTTTGTGCCTACAGTCTGACCATTCCAAGGAGATTGCTAATGACCTTATGACTCACTAGGATGATCTAGTCATCTTTCCCCAAGCTGCAGAGAACTGCAAGGAGTTTATGAAGCTTATTCTCTCAAATTTACCCACTAAAGCTAAATACTTGGCCTGTCTTTAAAATTATGAAATATATTCCATGGACTAGCATAGAGTTACCTCTGAAGAATGAGCTTAGTGTGATGGCAAAAACCTGATATTATTAAAACCACTTCCACAGAACTTTCTTATTAGTATTGCCTTTAGATTAATGAAAATTATAACATAGAAAAGGTATATTTTTAAACTACTTAAGAGATTTGCTTTCTTTGCAAGTTTTCCAACATATACACACACAGAGCTGAATATAATTCAATCAATATTTGGAAATAAGATTTCAAGTAAATAACTATTTTAAGAAATTTGGAAAATCCTAAGTGACTAATATTGGATTTGAAGACAACCATAATGTAGTTTTTATATAATACACGATGCCAAATTATCATTTTTATCATATGTGTAGTTGGTGATAACATATATACTATGACTGTCCCACTTATATAGACTGCAATTAATGATAGGGATAGCCAACAAATCAAAACAGAATCATGTACATAGATTTTAATTACATACACTAATTAAAATAAAAGTCAGGTGTGGTGGTTTATGCCTGTAAATCACAGAATCCAGAAAGCTGAGGAAGGAGGACTGCTTAAGTTTGAGACCAACCTAGGCTATCTAATGAGACCCTTCTCCAAACAAACATATTTGTCCACATAACTAAATGTTAAGTAACATTATGTATAAGTCAGTTTTCATTTCATTATAAAAATCCTGTTTTTAAACTGCTAATACTACTTGAACATTGGCATTTAAATGAAGAAAAGCATAATTTGAATAGCTTTATTTTATTCTACATTCTGTCTAAAAAAAATGATGGTGCCCAATCATCTCTTAAATAGAAATATCACCAGTGCTGCCCACTTGTCCATATATCTATCCTATCTGAACCTGCTCAACCCCACTGTGAATGCTCTTAACACACTCCCCTTAGAAGACCAAGGGAACACTGAATTGTCTACAAATAGTGTTGTCTTCACCAAGAAAAGATCAGTGTGACTGTCCTCCCTGACTCCTGTGTACCAGGGGGAGGTACTAAGAGCAGACTTCACCGCACACAGGCTAATATCCAACACAATTCTAAAGCTGTGAAGTAGGAAAAGGCTAAGATCATGTTCTGTACTCCTACACTATGACATTCATCTCCCATCAAGTATCAACGCTGTTTCTTCAACTAAAATGTGCCCGCATGTGTGTGGGAGTATAAGACCAATGAACATTTTATCCACCTACTACTTAGAATAAAAAAAATAGGATATTTTCTTTTAACTTTGCAAATTTGAACAAATGTTCAGCATACAGACAGATAATGCAATCGGAAAACAGTTATAGTGTTTACAGAGCTATTAACATGACAAACATTTTCCATTAAATATTAGGTTAATCTTACTTAGTAGTTTTTGCCAAGGCATGAAACAGGTACACATGAACTTCCACACCACGAACGATGTTCTTGGGGAAAATGAAGCAATGCAGGCACAGCTTTTACCAAAGCACAAACATTCTGCATGCCATATGCTTCTAGAACACTTGCTGCAGTAATGACGCTACACATACACTGTACAGAATGAGGCAAAATCATAAGAACTTACTCAAGAGAGAAGTTGGACATATTCTCCAAGCCAGTATCAGCGTGTCCAACTGGTTCCACTCGGCTGCTGTCTTCCTCTGTGCCCTCTTCATCCTAGAGGCAGTGTGACAAAGAAAAGTATTCTGGGTTAAAAAGGAAACTGAAAAGCACTATGGTCCTGCCAAGAGGAATCGTGTCTAGGGAGGATACTTGGTTGGTAAGACAGGAACACCTTCTTGAATAAGCAAGGGTCTCAAGAGTCAGCATGTCCAGTTTAACAGACACTCCTGGGATAGGGAAGAAAACTGAACTACAGCTGAGGCAAATTTGTTTATCTTGGTATTTGTACACCATTCTTTGAATGTATGTTTTAGATAGTAATTATATTGCTGCAGTTTTGTGATATATTATTAAGTGAACATCTTTAAATTGAACATTACCACCTAAAATACCTAAGACCAAAACAGTTGGGGTACTAATAACCATGACTACTTACCAAAGACTTTGATAGTGAAGTCTTCCCCTTCCTTACCTACAAACTCAGCTTGTCAAAATGAGAATTTAGTAGGTAAAATTCCAAGCCTAAAATCCTTGCTCCAGGGAGGTTTCCCAAAGAGCAATCTCAAATAACTGACTGAGTATCTTGTGCCTTTCACAGGATCAAAGTGACAAAGGCTCTTATCTGTTTAGAGGTGCACAGCAAACCCAAGAAAAGAAAATGCAAATACATTCATGTATACAGTCCTTGTACTTACATACTGCCTTTGAAACCTCACTATTGTGTCACAGATATTGGTGAGAATGTTGGGATTCCAAAAGACAAAGGTGCAATAAATGCTGTTTGCATAAATAAATGAAATTCAACCCATCCAAGAGGCCACCTGAGGTTATCATCTTGCCTGATGCCTTTTCATTAAGGTGTTCACTTATCAGTCATTACTTGGCTCTTGGAGACCACTTGAATAATGATGAATACGCCTGATTGTTATCAATGTTCTTAACTAAATCAACATATTTACAAGAGACTCATTCTCCATGTACAATGGTTCAGACAGCCAAGTATGTTTCAACTTGAATGAACCGTCTAGCAACAGTGATAGACACTATAAAATCTTAATCGAAGCAAACAACCCACTGGCAATTTCTAAGGTTGTCTAAAGGGAACTGTGAGGTATACCTTAATTAATCTACTTCCATGATTACAAAAGTAATTTAGGTATATGCACAATTTTATTTTTATATGTTTCATTTCCATTCTTTATATTGTTTGTTTCACTTCAAATTTATTGTATCATCTACATTGGGAAAGGGAGCCCACCTATAACGAATATTTTATTTTATTTTACTTTATTTTATTTGAGACAGGATCTCATAGATCAGGCTGACCTCAAATTAGCTTTGTAGCTAAGGATGACATTAAATTCTGAATTTCCTTGCCTCCTCCTTGCAAGTGGTAGGATAGGTACATGACCATGCCTGATATTTCCTATTTTTCTTCATATATTTAAAGTGTGTGTGTGTCTGTGTGCGTGTGCACACACACACACGCATGCACTTGAGCCATAAACAGACACATCAATCAACAAAATGATAAAGAAGACAAACAATGCAGAGCACTCCTAGAGGCAGCTTCTCACTTCATCTCCTTCCTGTCATCTCCAAAGAATGTGCAGTCGTAGCAGAGGGCACCGTGCTGCTCTAGCTGTGGCATGCATCCTAGGAGGGGCAGACATGCCAGTGCATCCTGTATGCCCTATGCTGAGGAGCTGGGTGCTTGAAGATTGATGCTCCTGTGCTTTGAGAGGCTCTAATATATACTTCTTAGCCATCTATCTCTCTTAAGCACCAGCACATAATACATCTCAAAGGTTAACAGCATCTTGAACCTGTCTAAGAACAGCACTTTGAATGTAAACACTAACTCCCTAAATGACGCTTCTCCATTGGGAGTTGGGGGTGGAGAGACAGTAGGATCATTTATAAGCCAGATGTAAGGCAAAAAAATAATCTTACAGGTTAAGGACATTTTTATTTAAGAAATATTAATAATTTAGGTCCCACTGAAATGTTAGCAAGATGCACCCCTTCTCAAACATCTATGTGGCACCAGGGAAACAGCCACATAAATGATGCCTGACTACAATGACATATCAGGCAGAGGCAATTTGCAGAATATTTCCCTACAGTAAGTATCCCAGGGCCTCAAGCATGTAAAACTCTAGAACTGGGTATGATGGTTAGTTTAGGTCCACAAAACTTCCTTTATAAGCCTGCACTCAGTTGCTGAGGGAACTACAGATTAGCATCTCTAACCTTTTGCATGGGTCAGCATCAGCTCCTTCAGCATTTATTTTGTCTTTTTAAGAGCTGTGTACACACAGTTACTGTCAGCAAAACTAAATAGCACATCCCACGGTAACCATAAAAAATGAAACTCTACTGTCATATGATCAATATTTAAGGACAACCATGTTGATTTAAGCTGGATGTCACTATAGAACATCCAGGAAAGACACCAGAGCAGTGCCCATCCTTCTATTTTATTTAAGAATGCAGAGACTAAAACCTCTTTTTGGTGTTAAAATACTTGAAGGTGATTGTGAGGGAGGTCTAGTGACTATGTTCTTGTCTCAATGCCCTCTGTAAAATGGGAACAATAAAGACATCCTACATTCTAGAATGGAGGGGTTGAAGATGATCCATGTCCCAATACAGTATTGGAAAACTGTGCCTGCAGAAGTTGGTAATTTACATATGTCATCAAAAGCAAGTACTAGGGGCTGGAGAGATGGCAAAATCCATATACAGTTTGCTTATAGGTTCTGAGTTTGGTTCTCAGCAGGCACAGCTAATGGTTCTACAACCATATGCTTTGGTTGTATTTAACCAGTCTGTCTTTTACCAGAGAAAACAAGGAAGGCTTGATACACATAGCAGAATGCAAAGTTTGGGGTCAGTCTATGCAGAACTAACTGAAAGCGCTACGTGAAGCTCCTGTGTCCAGCTTCTGGTGAAACATCTATGCTCTGGCTCGCTTCCCAAGCTATGCTAGTAATTCAAAGGCTAAGCTTGGGGCTAGAGCCTCAGAGGACCACTAGACACTTTATCTTTCAGTGAAAAGCACTCATGCAAGCCACGCAGTAAGAAAAACGACACTTGCCTAACTATCATCCACACATGGGGAGTTTTAAAGAATGATTCAAGCTGCCCTCTATTTGAGTGGCAAATATTTTCTGAACTTCATAGAATAAAATTTCTGAAGCCCCAAATTAGGTGGATGCCACAGCAAGCTAAATGGGAGAAATTAGAAACGTTAAGGCTTGAATCCTGCACTCTTGTGTACTTCATAGCACTTTCTGAATCCAAACAGACGCAATCCCACACCCATTTTATACATACAGTATTCAAAGGAACCAGATATTTTGTAAATAAAAGACCACAGTTCTAAAAAGTAATTTATCATTTAAAAATCACTTCATTAAACACTAAAATTTTATTTCTTACCTGTCTATCACTATTATGCTTAAATGTAAAAAGGAAATGTGTGACCCTGAGGTAACCACTTAAATTTACAGTAATTCTCTCTATTTTTCTTATTATTCTTAACAGAATAAAATTTTTTAGATAATTTTTCTATAAAATGGTCTATTAAATGTTCTTTCTCACACTTTTGACATTAACTGGAGAATTTGCCCAACTCAACAAAAGACATAATACTTAGTAAGCTACAGCATCTTAGGGAAAATATTTATTTGGATATAGACAGAATGAATGAAGCTACGTTTTTTATTACATTTGGTAGATAATTCTAGAGGGATATGGCTTCCAAGTTCTCTGAGAATTGTGATGAAGATTCCATAAGGTTTTGTGTAAGGAAGCATGTAGCTACTTGACAAATTGGCAAGTTCCCTGAGGTGAGGTAGTTTCCCATCATACTAGAGAAAAATATGTGTGGTCTGACAGACTTCACAAGAGAATGAAACTCACATCAGCCTTCCAAAGAGACAAAATGAGGTGGGTGACACAAGTTAACTTTGTGATCACTGTGTTCTATGAGAGTTTTAGAGGTGAGAGAGAGACCAAAAAACTAGCAAGGAGTTGGGGGTTACCACACCAACATTCAGAAAGTAGAGGAAGGAGAACTATGAGATTCAGTCAGCCTAAGCTACAACCACAGAACCTGACTTTTGTGGGGGGGGGGCAGGGGGAGCAATGGAAGAAATTACTTAATCTCCATAGGCATGTGCATCTAAAAATCCATTCACATTGCTTAGATTTTCCAATTTAGTGGAATATGTTTTAAAGGGATATTATAATAATGATCTGAATTTCATCAGTATCTACCATAATGGCTTCCTTTTCATTTCTAATTTTATTATCTAGTGGAGGGATAATAAATTAGGGCTCCCTCTCTCTTTCTCTCTCATTAGTTTGGCTAAAAGTTTTTCAATACACAAAACAAAATCAAACAACAAAAGTCAAATTCACTCTCCACAAACAAGACTAAATCATAAGATCCTATGGAATAAAATTTCTACTGGAACAAAGAGAGCAGTGGCCGATAGTTAACTTCCAATAGTTGACTATAATACCCACTGGCTTTAAGAATAATACCCACTAATGATAAGTACTATCACTTATGGATAGTTGGAAACTATGCATTTTTTAATATGACTAACTTTGTCTTCTATCAATAGCATCTAATTTTCATTAATGTAATGTTTAAAAATGTTTGACCACAGGGCATGGTGGCAACACCTGTAATCCTAGCACTTAGAAGGAGGTTGCAGAAGGATCCCAGTGACTTCCAGACAGCCTGGAGTACATAGTGAGACCCTTCAAAAAAGAAAAAAGAAAGAAAGAAAAAGAAAACTTTAAAAACATATATATGTAATAAATAAATTTTAAAAACAAAAATAAGTACATATTACAAATGCTTTGTTGGAGGAAACAAGATACACACAGCTTTAAAATTCTTTTATCTCCACTACATAGCAAAATTGAAATGACCCAGAATATGTGACACCATTTCTCTAATAAATAAATAAACGTTAAAAGTAGAAAGTTTTGTTTTGTTTTGCTTTCCGAGACAGGGTTTCTCTGTGTAGTTTTGG